AGCAGTTTCGATGTAATTGCCCATGCTGGATCATGTTCCCATCTGTCATTCCGATTATTAGTAAAGGTGTGGACAGGCCTCTGGAACAACATACAAATGCTTAGTGAGGCAGCTGCTGTGCTTGTAGCCCTTCCCACAGGTATCACACCGCAGCTCTGCCGCAGACTTCTTGCCCTCGCCCTTGATAAGGTGTGAGCCCTCGCTTGCTCTTCTGTTTCGGCTCTTGAGGTTCTTGGACGAAGACTGGTTGTCCTCATCGTTGGAATTATCGTCGAGGGCATCGTTGTCATGGCCAGGAGTGGCACGGGCTGTGGCGTCAAAGTACGAGTGCATGCTCGGTCGACCACTCATCGACTGAGATTCTGCGGGCTTCCTGGAACCCATGCTCCTCCGATGGTGATGTATGGGCATCCCGACCAATTCGCCCTGGTCTCTCAAGGCGGCAGCAATGGCGGCTTGGGCAGTGCTAGAGGCTCCGGCGTTGACACTTTTCCGCCGGTTGACTCGGTGGGAAGGGTTCGTAGCCGACAGGGAGACAGAGTGGGAGTGTTGTCTACCGCCCGTCGAAGGGTGCCTCGAGGAAAAGCTGCCAGAAAGCGGACGAGAAGTCGGCAGCTCCTTTGTTTAGAAATATATGTCAGCACGGGCGCTTGGTCGAGAACGGGCCATAACTCGACTCACTTTTGAGGATGCCATGTTGTGAATGCTGAGGGTGAGCGTCAGACGACTCTCGAGCTCAAAACCGTAGACAGTCTTGAGACTTGAGAGTCGTCAAGAATCAGTGGTAACCAAAAGTGGTGAGAGGCAGCTTTGTGTGTTGTGGGGTGGGGACGCCGCGAGAAGTCGCAGGACTGACGAGCGCGAGGGGGGAATCGACGGAGCGGGCAACTGCAGGAACAGAACAGCTGTTCGAACAGACGGTACAGATCGACCCGTCACGGGGAACTCGAGTACAATTGTGCTTTCCAATGCGACTGGAGGGCCGAATTTGGGTCCAGCAAGCGAAGGTGAAGGGAGTGAGTGGCCTGTGAACTTGACGTGTGGGAGTGGGAGCGTGGAACGGCGGAAATAGTTCAGTTGACTTTTTATTGGGAATTTGCTTCGTGACTTGCGTGCAGCGGGTGAATAGCGTGGTTTGCCGATCGATGATCGTGGCTGTGGAGTTCACGCCGAATGCAGACGCCTCTGGGCTATGAGTCCTGGATTTGGCACCTGGGTGTTTGGCAACGAAACAAAGTTGGCAAGAGACTCCAGCAACGACGCGTACGAGGTAGAAGAGGTCGAAGGGGTCGACGATGGTGCGTGAGGCCTTCTTTTTTTTTCTGACAGGCCTGCTGATCGAGCCGATTTCAGAACCCTCGTGCTGATATTATTTCTCTGGCCTTCTCCTCCTGACCTTTTGTCTGACTGGCTGACCGTGTTCCTTGCTTCTGCCACCCTCGCTGCGGGGTCGCCCGTGCCTGGGCCTAAGCGTCTCAAGCTCGCGCAGCTGGAAATTAATGCACAGAGGTCAGGTCCAGTGCACTGGCAATTGTTTCAGCAACACGGGCGGCTTAGAAATTATTTCTGGATCGAGGCGCGCGTCTGTGCACATGCAACCGCGTCCTGAAATTCGATGGCGGGATCGGGTGGAAAAGAAAAATGTTGGCAAACAACACGATGGACAATCCGAGGAATGGATCAGCTTGCGATTGACACGGGACGGGATCACAGGTCTGGGGCCATGGGCCGTGGTGTGCAGGACACCGGCGATGGTCAAACATGGGGCAGAAAGCCCAAAGGAGCATGGCCCGATCAGGTCATGCACAGCTCAAGGTCATGGGTCAGGCCCCAAAAGCCAGGGCTGATGGGCTAAAAGGCGCCATCAGACTCTCTCGCTCCGTACCTGACTAAAAACTGACTGGATTCACCCCAGGCGCCAAACAACACACAGAAGCTCGGGATGTTTCCCCTCTCGAAACTCTCCCAATGTCTGGACCGACCGGACACGGCTCGAAGGTTCAACCCCACCGCGACCGCGGCACAAAGACCACAGGAGCTGTCGAGCGGAGGTGCCCTTGGTGGGCTGAGGCGGAGAGGAACAATGGTGACTTGACTGAGCGGCCCTCAAGGTATCATCTGGCACTGCGAGGAGGAGGTGCTCAGGAGCAACTATCGACACACGAGGCAATGATGAGCGCTTCTCGGTATCCGCTCCAGAAACGACCGCAGCAGCAACTCCGCCAATCAGCCAGTCCTCCTGACGGCCGAGAAAGGGTATGCTGATTGGTGCAGTCTCCGCCACTCAGACTGGCTGGCAGGCAGGAGGTATACTATTGGCCGTGATATTCCTTTCTCGCAGGACAAGGCAAACACTAGCAAGCAATAGGCACGTCGCCAGCTTGCGGCAAGGAGGCTAAGGCCTGTTGAGGGACATGTGGGACACCAAGGAGTCGCCTTGTCAAACCAGCGAGAGGCTTGGGGCGGATCCAAGCCATGCTTCCCAAATGCCAAACGGGCATGCGAACTTATGCAGAGGAGCAGTGCCAGGTACGGTACGGGGCAAGCTCTGACAGGTCGGTTTGCGGACCAAGTGCGAGCTTGCGAGCCAACAACAAGCGAGGTCGCCTGACGGGCGCAAGGCAACAAAAATCACGCACGTTTGAGATCCCACGATGCCGTCATCGTGTTGGCTTGTGGCTTGCATTGCATGGCGTGCGCAAGATACGGCATCGTCCCGTGGCCCCGTGGCACTTTTCGTTTTGAGTACACAGTGCTGTGTGCACGAGGTCAGCGTCGTCACCGGCCCGCATGGCTTCGTCACTGTCGGGAGATCTGGAGACGGCACATACGCGGGAGCTATGCAGTTTACGAATCCGACTCGGTCCAGAGGGCCTCTCCCTGGACACGCGGTTACCGGACTTTGGAACAGAGTACTCGTATTCGTCCGAGTATCATGAATCGCAGACAGACCGATCAGCCAAATAATGTCGGCCCCAAACTCATCCGCGCAGAACCGAGACTTGTCGATCAATCAGATTGCTGATCCCCAAAAATATCCCCATTGGAGAATTCAGCATTCTTACTGTGTACTCGTACGAGTACACAACCCGTCCTGACTGACCCCAATCTGCCGAAGCTTGGACGCTTCGGCGGAGGAAACACACAGCTCAGCTATGCATATTCATTTGTAGACGCAAGCTGGTGCGATAGAATGACATTCCACCGAAGATAAATGAACCCTTCCCCCTTCGTTTCTGAGAAAAAAGTCGTTCGTCCGTGTGCTTGCACAGTATCCCGGTCAGTAAACGAACCAGGCACTGGGTAGGCCGGCCTGCAGTGCTAGGGGAGCCCGGCAGCCTAACGGTATCACGCTAGGCGGCGGGGTTTCAGGCGCCAGGCGAGCCTCGGTCGAGACTGACTACCGTAAGAGTTTGTTGCCCCAGCTTTTGCAACCCCCCGTCACGCCCGAGGCCCAATCGGTTTTCTCCTGGGCACTGTTCTGCTCCTTACCCCAGTACCCGGTATTGTGTCCTAATTACGGGGGAGATGCTGCTGTGTCGTTGCCGTGCAGCCGCTTCCGGCGACGTGAAGATAAGATGTAGTTCTACCTCCAGCAAACCCTCTGCTACACCACATGGGAGAGTGTGTAGGTCACCCGAAATCGGCAGGCCCAGAAGTGCAAGGGCCACTACCTTGTGTGCACGGCTCTTAGAGTTATCGCCGCTATCAAGATTGCTGATATCGTTTGCTCGGTGCGTATCGGAAGATAGCACGCTATCGTCCTGCTCCAGGGCAGCAAGCATCTGCTATCACAAAGGCTGCTTGTCCAGCTACCGGCTCTGCGCAGAAGCCCAGGCTTACCGTACAAGGATTGAGTGGCACCAGAGAGTCAGGCTCGCGCTGAACATCCACAGCATTTCGGTGCTTGTTCACGTTCTCCCGCTACAAACAAATGAGAGGCGGTTTATCTGCCTAGCCCAACAGCTAGCGAGCTTGCAGTCTGCACAGTGCCCCCCAAGGAGGGGAAAGCATGAACACATCGCAAGGGCCACGAGGAGTAACTGGAAGTACATACTGATCATCAAGGACCAGTCGTTAGGCCCCACCACTCGATTGTCCGGCTACCATTTCGGCATTCGAGGGCACATTGAGATATTGGACTGTGCGCTCTATCGCGTCAGAACCCAAGATCTCGAAGCTCGCCCAAAGCTCAGTCACAGTAGGGGAAGCCACAGCAGCGACTCCGCACCGAGTACACAGTAAGTTTACTTCGGACTCATTGCACAGACAGCGTCGGTTCGCCGCGTATCACGCCCCCGTTGCTCGCTGTCCAGCTCGCCGGCAGTCAGCGACGCCGCGTGCCTGGTAAGATACATGTACTGGTAGCCGGCCATCGTCCGCCGTTGGTCTCTCCTGTACGAGGCGCTGCAGCTTATCTCTCCGTCTCTTTCTCTCCAGTCAGGCGTCACTCTCCTATTGGAAGGCGAGTCCGCCAACTCCTCGCCGGGCGCTGCGTGTGTGGTCGGACTCTGGATTGAGGCTCTGAGGAGATAACCGTTAGCTGTCACTTGTGGCTGGTGATTCAACATGATTCCAGGCTGGCGCCTTCCGCGAGGCCCAATCAAGCCTTCGCTGGCTTTGCTCGTGCCTCTTGCGCTCCCCCTTTTGCCCTTGGATTCCCGGCGCCACGGACGTTGGTGCTGTCACTGACTGCTATTATTGCCGTCACATTTTTTCACTTCCTCGAGCTGTCCAGGTAAAATTGCCTACTGTTTACGTGCCGATCCGTGGCAGTTAGCAACCCTCACTCTGAACGCAGACGGGCATTATTTTTTAAATATTGTCACTGCATTTCTCAGACCAGCCGGTGTTGGGATTCAAGGATCCAGCATCCCCACCATTGTTGACAGGGGCTCGAAATCCTTCTCCGTTGCATTTCCAGCTGCCATCACGTCACTGCAGAGACAAGTATTGTGCCTCGTACCTGGTCCTGCAGTGACACCTGATCCCGGCACACAATGGCGTCCACGACACAATCCTGGGCGGCCGCAACGCAGTCTTGGGCGTCCTGGCTGCTAGACTCTTATGCCTCGTCCGTCTCGCCTCTGGCCACGGACACGTCGTTTCACCACCACGAGGACTCCCATTCCGTCTCCGAGTCGTCCTACCACGAAAGCCACTCTTCCGTGTCGTCTATATCGCTGTCCTCGGCCTATGGACCTTACGTGAAATCCGGGCGCGGTGGTGCCGGCAATTTCACCTGGGAGACGGATCTCCAGCTTGCCCCACGATCTAGCTCTCCAGTCGACCTCGAAGCAAACATACCGCAGAGACAGACATCTCTAGCTGAACGTCGCAAAGCAGCGGCCCGGCTTGAGCACATCAACACCCAGGAAACGATGCGCCTGCGCCAGAGCTCCGCGCAGTATCGGGGTCTTGGTCGCGGCGGTGCCGGAAACTACGCTTCCACCGACACGCTACCCATCCAGCGAAGTGTCACCCTCCCCGCGACTTTGATATCGTCGAGCACGCCGAAGCCGCCTAGTCCGAAACATCAGAATTTACACCCTAGTGTGCATCCGGGACGAGGTGGTGCCGGCAATTATGCTGCCGCAGCTGAGCTGAGTGGCCGAGCCGAGACCGGCAAGGAACAAGAGGAGAGACATGCCGCCGAGCAGAGACGGGAACAAATTGTCGAAGAGGTGGACGGGATAATTCAACCTCCCCCAGGCGCGTGGCTCGGTGGAAGGAGGAAAAGTGAATCCATGTACGACCAGGTGTGACTGAGAAATGAGCGGAATTTTCATGACCAACATCAGCAGTCTTATATTCGGATTCAGCCATTGGAACTGGGGAGGACTCTCTCATTCCTGGATGCCTTGCATCGTGCCTAACATCTAGAACACCGAATGTCGGGACGACAAGCAAGCTATTCCCCAGGCTTACCAGGCGATCGAACAAGGCGATGGCTCGGCAGGCCTAACTACTGGTACATTGGCGTCCAGCGAGATTGACGCCTTGACTCGCCATCTACCTGCAATATCGCAGACCGATGCCAATCAGGGTGACTGGTGCCGCTATCTCACCGACCCCGAAGTCTCGAGACAGACCTTCACCAACGCCGGCAACATGGAAATGTCACACCTTTAGCGTCACGGAGTCCTCACTCGGTCGATTCGACTCCACAGAAAACACAGACGCTCGACTTTGTACCATAGCCAAAGCTCATCATCGCCCCTCCTGACCCAGCTAATTGCGAGTTCTCCGCTGTGCACATCGCATCTCCATAGCCACGTCACCGAGTCTGGTCTCGGCGACGGTTTTGGCCCAACTTGACACATCGCAGAGCTTGAGAATCAAGCTGCAGTCACAGCAGCACAAGGTCTACAGCATGCAGTGTACGATGTATGGCGTATGGTGCACTGCTGGGTCACCCGCATAATCGCTACGGCGTCCATGAGAGCACGTCAGAAAAACGAAACCAACGAGCAGGGCATGTGTGGCCGAGATTGGATCCACCCGACGCGGGTTGACGCTGAAACGAGCGAGCCCTTCTAGTTCAAGAATGCGAGTGTGAATGCCAAAGACGGTTGCAAGCGGGCGCAAGTCGGTGACGCCAGCCAGTCATGGGCTTTCACACCTCCGTCCACGATACGTGAATCTTATACCCCCTGGACGCCAGAAGAACGGCTCTCATAAATCGGGAGAGATGAGTGTAGATATAGCAGATGATAATGATAGATAGAGACGGAGATGGAGATGGCGATATCCACTATGAAAATAATAATGTAATGTCTGGCTACGACCCGCCATCTCATCCTCATCCTCATCCTCATCCTCATCCTCATCCTCATCCTCATCCTCATCCTATCTGACACCCTAACACCCACACAACGAGTACACGTGTCCTCGCGTTGCAGCGCACCGGGACTCCCACTACGACCGACAGGGAAAGCGTCAGTTAAAGCCCAGGGGAGCATCAATTAGGTATCCTCCACAACTCTCTGCGGATATACAGTGTAGTACAGTATGTCAGCGATATCGCTATCTCAATGTCCGGCCTCGTACACTTCAGTTCGTTTGATTTGATCTGCCGAACTACGTTGACAGCTGTACGGCCAGACTATTGCACCGCCAGACTACCTACTATTACAGCAGACCACGCAAGGAGGGACAGACAGGGACAAGATCAAAGCAAGTGCACTTGCAGTACTCCGTACAACTAAATTAAATGCACTAGGGCAGCGTAGGCTGAAGGACATGTAGTGAGGATTTTCCTGCCACTCGCTGTTTCGTCTATTCTTGTCACATCACATCACGTCCTGTGCTGTTCTGCTTCTTGTCTTCTCTGCTCTTCTCTTTTATTTTCGTCCTGAGCTTCGCTTCTCCGCTCTGCGCTGCTCGATATCTCCGTCATAGCCCCCAGCGAGATCATGTTGAGAGTCTCTGACGGACGGCGAGGAAGAGCGTTGCAGTACATGCAGTACACGCAGTACACGCAGGAGAGGTATGAGACATGTACAATGAGTTCATAAACACACATGAGGACTCCCGGGCTTGTCTACTTGCTTGCTTGCATGCTTGCTTGCTTGCTTGCCTGCCTGTCTACCTGCCTGGTTGCCTACTTATCACTGTAATCCGCCAGCTGGCTGCCCGGCCACTGTATGATGGAACACAGTATGTCAACGTGCCGGTGCACTCCTGTCTCAGCTAAAGATCTTGTCAAAGTACTTCATAAAGGTGTTCCTGCGAGATTTTCCATGTCAGCGGAACGGATCCTCTCGGCCACGGGGCAGCATGAATTCATAAAATAGACACGTAACGAGGGGAAGGGACTCCACGAGCGTATGCATAAAACAGACACGTAACGCGTGGAAAGGACTCCACGAGCCATCACTCACCTCGGCGGCTTGGGCACGTAATTCCTCTCGTACTCGGCGATTTCGTCCAGATCCTTGTTCAGGTCGACCTCCTCGGGCTTCAACCATTTCGTCTTCTTGATCACCTTCCAGCCGACGAACAGGACGGGAAAGACGCCAATCATGGCGTAGGAGAAGAGAAAGTTGGGCACGTCCCAGAAGCCCGGCAGGAAGACGGTGTAACCGCCCACAAAGGTCATGATGAAACAACCCGTCAGGGCGTAGTAGGCCGAAAAGGGCTGCCACCAGGATTTGTAGGGGAGAGTGTTGCGATCGATGCCCTGGGCTTCGAGGGCCTTTTTGAACTTGAGGAACGTGTAGGCCATGACGGAGAAGTTGATCAGTTGAGACGCCGTGACCTGGACGGTGTGGCGAAAGCGATATAGTCAGCAAGAGCAGCCGCACTGAGATGGGTGGTCTCGAGATCATGGAGGGTGCGGTGCAAAACAAAGGAAACCCGTTTAGGAAAGCGGCCAAAACTCACCAAACTGACGAACCAGCTCAACACCACGGCCGCGTCGTTGCTGACTTGCAAAAACGCCAACAGACTGATCAGCAGTACAAGACCCACGCAATAGATCGGGACGCCGTTCCGCGTGCACCGCGTAAAGATCCGGGGTGCTTTGCCTTCCAGGGCAAGACCGAACAGACTACGACTGGCGCAGTAGACGTAGCTGTTGCCGGCGGAGAACGCACTTCCGAGAACCATGGCGTTGACGATATGCGGCAAGACCTTGATGCGGAGCCGATTCATGGAAACCACATAGGGCGACGCCGCGGCGCCGGGCTGGCCGGTCGAAAAGGCCGTCGCGAGTTCCTGATCGTTGTAGGGTACCAGAATGCCGACGCAGAGCGACCCGAGCATGAAGAAGGCGGTCAGCCGATAGAACACGGCTTTGTATGCTCGGGGGAGGACCGTCCGCGGGTTTTCGGCCTCGCCGGCGGCCATGGAGACGTAGTCCGGCCCGGCGATGGTGAAACTCGCCTGGATCAGGCACTGCAGAAAGCCGAGGAAGCGACCGAGCGCGCCCGGGCGGTAGAGTTCTGCGTGGAAGAGACAAACGTATGAGACACCAAAACGTGACCGACCTGAAAGGGATCCCACGGATGTTTCACCACTTACCGGTGAATGAGCCCGGGTTATTCCAGTAGCGAAATCCAAAGCGGTCGCCCTCTGGGTTTCCTCCCAGCATGACGATGAAGGTGTAGATGATCAGGCCCACGATCAAGAGCACTTTGCCCAACGCGAGCCAGAACTCGGTCTCACCGTACCACTTCACGGCGAAGAGATTGACGAGCGCGTAGCAGCAGATGACGATGGCGATGATGGCCCCGGCGGGCACGATGTCGCTCCAGAAATGGATAATGACGTTGCAGGCCACGATTTCAAAGGGCACCAGCATGGCCTCGAAGATGAAGAAATTGTACCCTGCTGCCACCCCGAACGCTTCGTCCACGTAGCGGCCGGCAAAGCGGATGAAGGGCGACGAGATCGGCGCGTAGGTGACCATCTCGGCCATGCAGTTCGTGACGCAGAGGATGAATGTACACCTATGTGGGCGCCACTGATTAGCCCCAGGGCAAAGAGACTGATGGGTGCCGGGTGAGCACAGAGCACGAGCGGTATCAATGCCATCGGTGTCGCGTGCGTGTTCGAATTTCCCGCTGCAAGTCAAGCCGGTGCCTTGGGAGAAAAAGGCTTGACTGCGTGTCACACTCACCAAATTGTAAAGGCCAGGAACAAGCTCCCCGGCCCGCCGTTAAGAAGTCCTCGGCCGATTTGCACGTACAGGGCCGTGCCAATGGTGCCTCCGATGCCGATGAGCTGAATATGTCGCGGCTTCAGCTTGCGGTGGGTACTGTCGTACCCTACTTTGATGCTCTCGGTATACGTAGGGACCTCGGCAAGACCATAGTTGGCCTTGATGGATGCTACGACGGACTGCTTGCGCGAGCCTCTCCGGACGGCGTGCTCTTCATCACTCGTCGAGTTGGTCCGCACGCCTCGGGCGATCGGCGTCTCGTCCCTCATGTGACGAGGCACGCTGCTGCCGTCTTTCTCATCGTAGCCACCGTCGCGCCCAGAGGAAGCCATGGTCAACGGAAATTTGGAGGTCTAGGGGACGAGATGATCCAAAACGAGGAGGAGTAGGCGTGAACGTAGAAGGACAAGAAGTCGCCAGGCCAGGTGGGAATGGCATTGTATATGAGGGTCGCCGCAAAGCAAAAAAGCTGCATCGGCCTGACCAACGATCTGGAAATTTCGCAAAGCTCCATCGCGCACGCAGCGAGCTACCCTACCCGGGCAAGCTCGTGCTCTGAGAGGTGGTCCTGCAGCAGGCTCTCGAACTGCAAGGCTCGGCGTGGCCTTATCGCGCGGATCACCTCGATTACCTCTGAAGGCCGGCCAAATTCGTGGGCGGGGGGCAGAGATCCCACGAGGTTACACAAGGTGGACTGCACGACGAGCAGGGAGACTGGATGGCCCGCTGGAGGACGATGCTGGGCTGACGCCCTAGTCGGTCTTGGGAGGCGTCGGTGGCTCTTGGCAGGGCACCGTTCGTTGGTGGAGGCGTCGATGAGCGGGAGGCAGACAAGCTCCTCCAGCTGCTCCCAAGCTCCCTCTCCCGCTCTTCTAGGCTTGGTTCTGCTTGGGTGAACGCCACGGAGCGTCAGACACACCTTACCGGGTAAGTACGAGCGTCGCTCGTCGCGCCGTTGCATGTCAGTTGCCATCTTGTCAGATCGCGGGCAATGATACCCTATTATCGTTAACCCGATGGAGGCGACCTCTCTATCCGTGCTTTATCACGGCTCAGCCGAGTCGAATACCATGTGATTGGCTGTCGTGGCTGGGTACGGGATCTGGTACACGGTCTGGGGTACCGTAGCTGCATCGCTTGGGACCGCTCTTGATATCGGATCCTATCTGCTGGAATTCTTACCTCGAATGCGGTACTGGGTCCTTCGAGGGCTCGGCTGCAGTCGAGAACGTTGCTCTGGAAGAGAAACTGCCGGGCTGAAACTCCCATCGCTTGCCTAAGTTGTCGCCAGGCAATGCGCCGCTGCGTTTGACTCAGCATCCCAGCCAGCAGCCCACCTGCTCGACGTGCTGGCTGGACCAAGCTCAAGACAAGTTGCTGGGACTTACTCCGTACAATCTGTGTTGAACTTGTCATGGTCTCTTTCATATGTAGGTTGAAGTCGACCCCCACGGTGCCACGATCCGGTCCTTGTCCCTTGCACCGTCGAACGAATTCCACCACGTTCTTGTTTTCTTCCGTCCTTTTGTCTCAATCAACACGATTCAAATGATTAAGATTTGGAGCCGATATCCGTCTATTTTCTTTGTTCGAAGTGTCAAACGCCGTACGATCGCCTCAAGGGACTAAACAGTGAGACATTAGCGCTGGTATCTCCGTCGCTATTCTGAAGTCCATGCTACGGCACTCCCTCAACCAAAAAAAAGCCCCCTCCAGATAATCCAGCCATCCTACAGTAACTCGTTCGTTGAGGGCCGTAGATCTCCGAATCTCAGTGATACAGAGTCAATCGTCGACACTTGGGTACGGTACGTGAGCCCTTGACTTTGGTGTCCTTCGTTCCGCCACAGGGCTGCTCTTATATATAACATGGCTGGCAGTTTGGTGTCGGCCCACATGTGATCGGTCATGCAAACTATCTATCGTCCTGCGCTCGTTCCAAGACATGGAGGTGCCAACCGCGTGGTTTCATCATCATCAGCCTTATATCTTGATGGTTTCGGCGTCAATTTATCAGCAGCCTATATCTTGATGGTTTCGGCGTCGTTCACTCCAAAGATCTCCTCCATGGGATCCTTGTAATTGACAAAGCCGCAGAACGGCGGGCTGATGGCATATCCAAGCAACCGCTGCGCCTTGGGCGACAGCCTTTTGGCCTTTTCAGGCGGCACCATGAAATATTGGTTCTCCACCTGCCGATACATGCCCTTGCACAAAAAGATGCCCACCGTCTCGCGAGCCTCGTCCCTGCCCCCCCAAGGTTGTTAGAACCGATGTTTACCCAAGGAGAGAATCAATGGCGTGGCAGTACTTACGTCGTCGAGTTGGCGCCTCCAGCATGGTAAGTGCCTCCCAGGAAAAGAAACGTGTCCCCCGGATTGAGCTCTGCCGGCACAGCCTCGTGGTCGAATGGCGTCCGCTCGTCTCCCCACTTGTGAGATCCAGGAATCGCAATGGTCGCGCCGTTCGCCTTGGTCGTCTTGACCACCGCCGTGACGGCCCCGAGCATCATCGGTGTCGCTCCGGGGGCGGTGTGGTAGTCGATCTCGTCACGGTGGAGGCCCTGTTGCTTGCCGCCCGGGTTGACTTGGAATCCCACCGTGCTCGAAATTTGCGGTTTGGACACGGCCGTGTGGCGTTCTTGCCCGACCCAGTATTCATACGTCGACGTCAACAGTCGTGACGCAACCTCGGTGAGAATGGGATTCAGAGCCAGGTCGACGCACGCGTCGGAAATCCCAAGCAACCCAATGGCTCGGCGGGTGGTTTTGGGGAAGAACCCAGAGACATCGCCCGTGTCGGATTCAAAGTATGGCTTGAGATCCGCCCGAATCTGGGCGGCAGCACTCGGATCGATGAAATTCTCGATGATGATGCCCCCGTCGCGGTCGAGAACTTTCAGGATGTAGTCTATGTCGGCATCCCGGGCGTTGATGCGAACAATGCTTGGAGGATCTGCGACTTCGGTGTTCGACATTGTGGGTGTCAAGAATACAATGCGATGTGGTAAGTTGGCGTGGTGTTGATGCAGAATAGTTTGATTACCGCCTCGATACATTGTTTGAGGGGCTCGGGGAGAGGGTTTTATAATCTCTCATCACCATCAATTGCCTCGCGTTCGCTGGTGCAGCGGGGTCTTCCGCTCGACGAGATATGCTCCGTGAATGCAGAGAGCGTGGAAAGCGTGTGGCTGCCCCGGACCAATCGAACAAACCTTCCAACTTCGGTCTAGGGGGTGGATATTCGAACGAATAGAATAACGATGCCTCAGTCTTGCTAGTATATCTCGGGAAGAGCTTGACGGCGGTTCTTCCTCCCCATAGCTGACAGACTTGCGGGAGCAGTTACCCTGCTGACCATATTTGTATGCATCGAGTGGATCGAACAAGGCCTCCTCGATCAGAGAGCTGAGAATCACCGATCTGCCACATTCGTCCCCGGTCGCGTCGCCCGGAGCCTGTCCACGCACGAACGTCGAGGAGGACAGAGCGCCTGAGGTGTGTTGCGTGACATTACGTCGGTGGGCGGAAATAGTGTTAGAGAATGAAGGCTACGACTGCAACTTTTTCGAAGGCATTATGATCATATAAAAAACCGTAGGTTTGCATCCTCCATCACATCCACCCAATGCAGACTTCTCGGGGTCAGCGCCTGATATTGTCGCACGGGCAAAGCGTCACCTCGCGCCCAAACTTCGGTCAGAAGAAGTCTGATCCTCCGATGGGCTTCAAGGTTGACAGATTGCTCGAGGTGCATGACTCTCTCCGTCACGAATCGACGCCAGTAAAGACAGGCACTGCTCTTGTCGCTTGTGACATCGCCGCACTGTGTGTGCGAGAGGCTCATGATCGATGGCAAAAGCACACTTCCAGCGATCAACAAAGGGAGATGATACAGACACCGTGTACCCGAGTCGGTGGGAATACCCGATAAAAGCCGTAGGATTTGCACCGACAAGTCCCGCAGGAGATCTGTGCATGTTGCTTCCGATCGTACGTCCACGTGTACCGCGCTTGCCGACGAAGTCCCCATACAGTTATCGGCGATCAATGTCGCCATTGCTTGCTGTTCATCGATGGAGTCGCAAGAGCGAATCAACTCCACCAATGCTGCCAGCTGGCAACAACGTGCGAGATCTTGTAGTTGTGATTTCGACGTGTGCTCGTCGAATGTATCCTCAATCTGTGCATCGCTCGGGGGCCGGTAGTGCAAAAGCTCTTTCGCCAGCACATGCGCGACATGACAGTCTTCTGACAGGGGCTGATGGGACGTGACGGCCTTGGTGCTGGAGATACCATCCCACAACGTCTCGCCCCGGTCCCGGTTTCTGTGGGACCGAATGACACACCCGGCTTTGGCCAAGTACAACCATGGAACCGCACTGATCCCCGTCCAGGGATGGACAGTCCCAGCTTTCATCCGGTCGATCGCGAAGGAAATATGCAGGTAGTCCAGCTGGTGGATGTCCTGGTCGATCAAGAAAGAAGCCATCGCCTCCCAGTAAGCCTGAAGCCCCAGGTAGAAATGCAAACGCGGCCAAGCACCATCGAAGGCTTGTCCAGACGTGCACTCTTGCGCGATCCAGGTCCGAAACAGCGCGCGAGATCCGGAAATGTGTTCGAGTCCCAGGCCGGATGAAGCGTGCCACGAGGTGGTCATGCCCAGCATGATGACTCCCAGGAGGACCGTGCCTAGGTCCTGATCCGCGGCGGTTGACAACGGACGCACGGTTATGACGCCATTCATCGCCCTTGACAGCTCGCTCACCGTCGCGGTGAGATATCCCAGACCCTCCAGTGACCAGTGTGGATGAGAGTTGCTCAGGTGGGCGGCCGACATGCTCAAAATGCAGAATTCGATCAGGCGCGACGTGGTGATGAGAGCGGCAACCTCGGTGCGAAGCGGATTGACGAAAGAATCAAAGCAAGAATTGATGGCACACACGTTGTGAAAGTAGTACGCCAGCAGCACTGCCATCTTGTCGTTGAACGGCAGGGCTTCGGAAAGGCAAGGGCCCACGAGGATCGGTGATGCGCCTCGGTCGACTGACAATGCGCCCGGCGTCGGGGTCAAGGTTCGTGTGGTCACGGAAGAAGGGACGTGATGACCTTTATTCTCGACGGCGGTTGACGGGATGAGCTGGTGCTTCTCTTTCCATCTCAGCGTCTTGCTGTAGCCAGGGCAGGTCAAGTTTCGTGTCGAACAATTGAGACACCTTGGAGTGCCTCTGTCACATTTGATCCGTCGTGACTTGCATGTCATACAGCCCGCTATGCGATACAGTCAGATACTAGTTCGGCTTGGGCGAGAGTGCCGACACCAACCTCGGGAATTCTGTCGCGCCACAGGGCGATACCGCGATGCCATCTTGTCGGCTTAGACATGAGGGAGGGTAGGGGACGGGCGAGCCCCTGTGACGGTAGCAGAAGGCAAATGGGGTTTTGCCATGGACGATGGGGGAAGATGTAGCGAGCCTCTTAGGCGACGAGGGAAAGAGTAGAGTGGTGCGTGGGAGATAACATTCGTCGTCAAGTGTGTAGGAGAGATAGATAGATTAAGATAAGGCCGGGAGTAGTGGACTATCATAGGGGAGGCGGACGGGGAGGGGGGGGGGGGGGGAAGGAGATCGGCCGGCTGGGGAAGCTTTCCTCATCGCGCCTAGTTTTGGCGGAGATGTTCGGGCTCGACCTCCGAAATGAAGAGGGCGGCGAATGAAAGCTGGGGTATTACAGGGACAGAACGTCTCGAGGCCTGTGTGCTATTGACTTTCCTATTCACCGATACAATGAGCGACCATTGGGAAGTGGGATCCCTTTTCCTCCGGGGCTCCTCTTGATCACCATGTGCCCGACTCTTGCAAGGCTGCACAACCTCCCAAGTCGTGACAGAACTTGATGTCGTCGGTCTCGCCACCAGCAGTCAAGGGCCGTGTGGGCCACACTTCCTTGCCAGCCTGTATTTCAAGCTTCCGGTGTGCGGTGACGGCTTCCCGGACCAGCTGCTGGAAGCAAAGAACGCCACTTTCGCCGTCTGGCTGCAGTTGACCGGTGGAGTAGCTGCCTACGTTGAGGTTGACTTGCACAGCGTTGCACAACTCCTTGTCTTCGCCCTCGACCTGTTTGAAGAATTTGTCCATCTCTTCAAACTCGGCATCCGTGGCATCCTTGTGGCGGAACACCTCATACTCGTTAAGGACTGTCGTCGCACTCGTGGGGCATGAGCGCAGGAGATACCAGAACGGAGCACTGTGCTGGTCAGCTCAACATGCGCGTACGAGGCGCCCAGACGGGATGACCACTGACGCAATATTCAACGCTCCGTTGGGATAGAACCAGCTGGGGGTGAAGTCGCGGTTGGTCTTCCCTGGCAGATCTTCCATGAAGTATTGTAGTTCTGCGCCCTCCTGTTCGAATCGATATTTGTCCAAATTGGTCGTCTCCACAAACCCGGGATGGGTCGTGGGACAGTGATAGCACTGGATCGGGGAGCATCAGCCATTGTTCTTGGGCACCTCTGGCAACGCCGATGTGGGAAGGGAGAGAGAAGGGAGTACCTCGTTGTAGTTGTCGGCCGCCGCCTTCCAGTTGTATCTGCCTTCGATGGTCCAGCTGTGGTCATACACATAGTCATCCATGTTGAAGATGGCCAGGCGAGAACGCCGGTCGCTGCCTTGTAGGCGCATTTCCCACGGAATGGAGGGTACTTCCGAAGCCTCGAGATTGACCCAGATAATGCCTCGGCCGTCGATCCTGACATGAATGGGGAACAGGCCGTTCTGTTCCTTCTCGAAATCCTCGACACCGTCGAATTTGGGCGCTTTGGCGAGTTTCCCATTCAATCCGTACGACCATCCTGGCACGATCAGACGGGGTCTTGACATCTCTCACGATTTTCTTGCACCATACCATGATAGTAGCACGCAATGATACTTTTGGTTCCGCTCGTGGGAGCTTCAGGTCGAATGACAGGATAACCGCGATGTCGACAGACATTGTGGAAGCCGTTGATGTTGTGTTGACGATCCATGATCAGGAAGAACGGAAACCCAGCGATCTCAAACTTGTGGTAGTCGCCGGGCTTTTGGAAGCGGCATTTGTGTGTCGTCAGCAACCACTCCTTGGAGAAAATGGCCCGCCTCTCGAGCTCGTAGAGAGCAGGCGAACGGTACCACTCTGACGGGAGAGAAGTATTCCCATTCACCTTGGTGCTTTGCATGGTCACGGTCTCGGTCGACATGGTCACTTGTAGAAATGACTTCAGCAGTCGATGTGCGATAGTTTCGTTGGCAATGCGGCTTTCTTTGGTCGGGAGTCTTGACATGGCCTTGTGGTCATCTTTTATAGAGCTTCGCTCGCCATTCCCTCGCGGCACGCCATGCGTCCCTCGAAGCCCCGGAATCTGGGGTTCGGTAAACGGGCGTCTGCGAATCGAGCAAAACTTCTATACTCGGTATTATGGCCATCAGCTCCGCGTTGATAGACCACGACGTCCAAAATTCATTTGCAAATCGGACATCGCGTCGAGTGTAGCTTCAAGCCCAAGACCGTCGAACCAATCGCACCAACTTTCCCAACCCTGCAGGTGATTCCAAGTTTCGTCCTTGCTTTGGTCGAGCTCCTCAAATGCCGCCGTCCATATCATTGCGAATCGCGGGAACCTCCCGTGTTCGGGTCTGAAACTCTCTCTGTGTCCTTATCTCGAGCGATCAGGTCTACTAGTAGTTATCAAGGTGTGCTCGGTAGATCTAGCTGGGCAACGTTCGAGGGGCGAGCTGAGATTGGCGAGTCGACCAATCGAACGAAAGTTCCCGGTTCGGCATAGACGTGGAGTGTGCCCAGAGTTGCAAACCGACGCCACTGACGAGTAGCGCGAGGAAATGGATGAGACCCAAGAAACCCCGTGGGAAAGTTTCGTCAAAATTGGCTAGCCATCTCACCTCTCTCTCTTCAGGGAGCTGGAAGAGCCCGGGGGGGCTGTGCCCGAGGTGCAAACCAGCGACATCACTTCTCACGAGCTGGCACACTGGGTTACTGGCTTCTTGCAGTGGGCTCCGACTCGAGTCGTCTAGAGCAATAATAAGACCGAAGAGTTCCCAGGCATGACCATCCAACACTTTGCCACCAGCGACGTCTGACCAAGAAGACCTCGTCCACAAAGCTTCGACGCCTTCTCCCACGTGTACCACAACTTAGGATCGTTGTCGACCCGCTTGCTCATTTTGTGCCTCTTCGCCGTGTCAATGGAGACTCCTGGGCCATATCAGAAGACGACAACTGCGCCGACCCATGCCAAAGGCGAACATGACGGGGTGGGCTCGCCCGATACAGCGTCGCCCGACGTTCTTCTCGGTGTGTTGGGATACCATGCCGAACTGACGCGCAGTCGATCGACCTGGCAGGTCGCGTTCATGTCATTCGTGCTGGCCTCGGTTCCCTATGGACTCTCGTTGACGCTGTATTATCCCCTGATCGGTGGCGGCCCTGTTGCGATCATTTGGGGCTGGCTGGCAGTGGGCATGATCATGACCTGTGTCGCCATATCTCTCGGAGAGATCACTTCGGTCTTTCCAGCGGCCGGAGGCGTGTACTACCAGACATTTATGGTGTCGCCCCGACGGTACCGCACGGTGACGGCGTGGATTTGTGGCTGGGCATACACCATGGGGGTCATTACCATCACCCTCTCCGTCAATTTTGGTTCAGCTCAGTTCTTTGTCGCTTGTATCAACATCTTCTCCGACGCCGACGGAAACCCAGTCTGGGAGGCGAAGACGTACCAGGTCTTCCTGCTCTTTATCGCCATTACGGTCTTGTGCAATACGGTATCATCCGTTGGAAATCGATGGCTGCCCATATTAGACGTCAGTATTGTCCCGCCCTTCACCAGATCTCGCTAAAATTGAACCTGTGCGCAGACCTTTGCCGTTTTCTGGACGTTTACCGGCCTCGCGGCCATCATCATCTGCTCCCTGACACTTGCAAAGAACGGACGGAATAGCGCAAAGTACGTCTTCACCGAGTTCGAGAACAACTCCGGTTGGGTTCCGGGATGGTCCTTTTTCATCGGCCTGTTGCACGGTGCCTATGTGACCTCGGCGACCGGCATGATCATCTCGTAAGTTCCCACCCTTTCTAGTGACCGAGCCAAGACTGAGAAAATGCCATGCAGCATGTGCGAGGAGGTCAAACAGCCGGCGGTTCAGGTTCCCAAGGCCATGGTGCTCACTGTCATCCTGAACGTCGCTTGTGGCTTACTGTTCTTGATACCCCTGGTCTTTGTGCTACCTCCGATCGAGGATGTGGTCGCCCAGAGCTCTCCAATTCCGTATATTCTCAAGATGGCTATTGGCAACCAAGGGGGTGCCTTTGCGATCACCATCCCGTTACTGGTTCTGGCTCTGCTCTGTGGAACCGCGTGTACCACTGCGGCTTCTCGGACACTGTGGTCGTTTGCCCGAGACGACGCGATCCCCGGTTCGCGATGGTGGAAGAAAATCAACCTTCGGCTCGAGGTGCCATTCAACGCAATGATGATGAGTATGGTGATCCAGTGCCTCTTGGGCGTCATCATCTTCGGCTCTACTGCAGCATTCAATGCCTTTAGCGGAGTGGGAGTCATATTTTTGGTAACTACTCCCCACACAAGGTGACCTTTGGTCTCCAGCTGACCTTCTTCTTCCTCTTCTTCAGAATATTTCCTACACGACGCCGATTTTTGTGTCCCTCCTCAACGGTCGAAAGACTCTCAAACGAGCCCACTATAACTTCGGTCCATTTGGGGTTGCATGCAACATAATTGCCATCTGTAAGTGCACCAAACCAAAACAACTCTGCACTCACTGTTCGGTGTCAATTCTCTTTCTTGACTGACAATATACAGGCTGGTGTCTCTTGATCACGCCCATATATTGCATGCCGTCTTATCTACCCACTACGGCAGATACGATGAATTACGCGTCTGTGGTCTTCATTGGGGGAGTGTCGGTCTCGGCAATCTGGTATTTCATCTGGGGTCGTCGTAACTATCGCGGACCTCCAGTCGGTCTGGAGGAAGCGAACGAACGGCGGGACTCGCTAGTCGTCGAAGGAAAGTAGAAACAGCACGATCAAGGACTGCCAGCACGTCGTGAATCCGGTTCGGCCCTCGGTCGGCCGGATGTTGTCCCACTGGTCCTACATCTGAGATAGCTGTCACCTACGCTTTCCCTATAGCCTACAACTGGATACGGAATACTCCACCGGGGTGACCAGGGTTTCGTGTTCTTGTTGGCATCGAGAAGAAAACAGCCTCTGGAAGCGGCGGCGGGAAGTTTCCCCTGTAACCTGCATTGAGTTGAGCTGTAGTAGTCACGTCTCGCCTTGTCCTCTGGTCACAAGTGCTCCAGCGGCACTCACAGTAGCCAGGCTATCATAGCTAGCAGCCTCGCATGAGAGCACCGACCCGGGACTCGGCTGTTCCAACGAACCTCGGAGGGCATGTTCAAAATAGCCCTCATGAATACTAGAGGCATTGGTTGCACTACTTCCTTTCTTTTGCACTTCCGTGTCGGACCTCTGACGGCGCCAGCACCTCGGGATCGTTCGTTCGCTGCTGCTGCTGCTGCTGCTGCTGCTGTTGTCTTGATGTAAACTGGAGCTACGGTGCCAGGCTAGATAGATGGGCACCCGGGCAACCACGTCGCCGGACGGCTCGCTTCAGTCCCGTGCGAAAAAGCGGATCCATGCCTCCTCAACGGGTGCTCGAGGGCACCTCTTGGTGTCTGTCTAGTTTGAATGTATGTATGATTCACCTCAAGTCTAGAATGCAGCTACCAGCTATGGATGTAAGACAGCCCCCGTCGCCCGGGCAACCTCAAGTGGTAGGCACACTGGGTACCTCCTGCGACCACAACGGATGAGATTTTGAGGTGAAACATGAAGCTCTTTTCACAATCATCATCATCATTATCATTCTGGTTATCTTGAGGGCGAGTATCAACATCGTCTTCGTCTCTATCGCCGATCGAGGTATATGGAATTCCCCTAACTACGAACTCCATACCCTTTCTTTGATACGATCTCAGCCGCCGTACCCGGCGCAGAGTCGTGGATTCTTAATGTGAAGCGCGGTATAGATGCTGAATTTCCGATCGTGGCCAACTCAGCTCAGCGATACGATGACAGCGAAGTCGTAGAGATCATATGTGCTTGGTGAAAGCTCTGCACGTCGTGGTAGGCATGTACTTAACGTCTGTCGTAAGTATAACTTGGAGGCAGTGCCTTTACTGGCGAAGGCAGGCGACCAGTGAACCAAGATAGCCTGGGACGTTGCGGAGAATATGGGCTTCCAGAGGGTGATGAGTATCCCCGAAGATAAGGCTGTAGATGGTCCGCGACCGGCGCTCGTCTGCTGTTGCTACACCGAAATCAGACGCAATGCTTAGGTCTCTAGATGTCTTCACCAGCTAGAGTATTCCGTAGGTATACTCGTCCAGGCCGCCATCGCGCTGTCGACATCAACAAGGCATCCAGGTGGCGTACTCACGCTCTGATCTGATTGGGAGGTCTCAAACTGGGAGTTCAACCGCAGTTTTCGGCGGTCTTCATGATAGACCTCGCTCTCCCCGCCAAGGGGGACTGATCTCTGCTGTAGAGTCTGACGCAAAGTTTAGATAGCAGCAGATCGAATGGGAGACAAGGCCCGAATGCAATTCGGACATGATTAGCGGTGACGCAGTTGAAGAAAGAAAAGTCAAATGCCAGCCACTTGAAAAGTGTCGTGAAGATTGGCCAAGAGTTTACAGCGTAAATGGGAGACTTGAACAAGATGGAATGACGAAGACGGCGCAATCGCGTAGTGAAGGAGAGCTTCTTCCAGACGATGCCACCGAATGGCTGCTGGATCGGCGTCTGGTGTTCAAAATCATGATCTTCCGTCGTCATTTCTAGTACAGTAGCAAGGGGACAGTAGCTTGGAAAGGGCTGGAGATCGTCCCGTTGGTGCGAGGATTGCCTCTGCGTGGTGACTGTGTCCTGAAACAGTTCCATCGAAGAACGCGAGGAAAGAAGAGCAATCCTGTTTGACTCGAAGAGCGGGCTTTGGAAGTGCGATCTGATACAACTAAAAAATTCCTTGCCTGTCTACTGTAATGGGTGAGATGAAAGTGAAGCATCGATGAAGAAGCAATTTCATTGCATGATGGCTCCAGCACTCCCCCGGATTGGTGATACGGTGCGGTACTCAAGCCGACCTTCCAAATTCGACGCGCACGTGCTCTTGCTATCATACACAACTGTGACTGTGCTGCCCATCTCAAGCTCAGTCACATCCATCTGCATCACAGACCAGCTGGATCTCGTCAAACGTCAACATTCCGTCGCCGTCGAGATCATGCGCTCGGAACTTCCCTTCCACACTGTTGACGTAAGGCCCACCTTTCTGGGTGTCGGTGACGTTGAAGAAACCAAAGTACTGGTCGAGGGAAAAGGCACGCCTGCCCTTGTGTCTCCTTCCTGCGCAGACGCGATCGAATGTGTCCTTCAATTCTGCAAACTCTTCGGGACTGTAATACGGGTGGGCGAATGCGGCAGGTGAAGTCGGTCTGGGCATGTGAGTGATGGTGGCAATTGGCCTGCCGTCACTTGAGTCGATCATCGCGGTAGGTCGAGACGGGGTTCGCTGTTTGACGCATGGCAAAATTGTGGAGACGTGACTGTCACGGCAGGTCCAGGTCGTTCCTGGGGAGGCGGAGACGTAGGAGGTGAACTCTGCACCGCAGTTGCTCACCCATTCGTCGATAACCTGAGCTACAGGTACTGTCAGTCCCAGGTCACGCGAGAACAAGAGAGGAGAAAAGGTATCCTTTACTCCCGTGACAGGCGCAGCAAAAGGCGTTGCATTTCTTGTACCCGCAGCAAGGTGTACCGAACGAGCCGTCGCCACACTCGTTGTATAGGATGTCCCCCCAGCAGCACTTGGCATTGACCACGGGAGGCTGGAGCTGAAGTATCCGTAACAAGATGGCAAGAAGCACGAGAAGCAACATGATGGAGGGAGGACGTGATTTCAAGACGTAAGCGTTTGTCGAGCAATTTGCGCTGAAGTTGACAGTGGGATAGTGGTGGAAGACCATAGCCACGGGAGGAAGGGAGATATTTATATGCGCAAGATGTGAATTTGGTGAAGTTCGCATGACATTCACAGTTAATAACTGCAGTGACAAGCAGGCAGCAGGCAGCTGGCAGGAGGCTGTTTGCCTCACCAACAATGGTCGTTGAGCAGAAGTGAAGAAACGCTTCCGAACTGCTTCCGATTTCGACCGGCTCGAGCCATCGTCTTCACTCTTTCACCTCAGGATCTTCTGATGAATTTGGTGAAGATACGACTTCGCTTTCACGACAAGACAACTGAGAAGCTAGGCCGGGGCAAGGATGCACTGAGTGATGTCAAGCCCTTGAAGTTGGGCAAGGGTGACACTTTATATTCATCATGATCAGGCGGTATCTTCGACCCGTACATACACGAAAAGATGAGCTTTCCCCCACCGAGATTGATAGTGTGGTTTTTGAGGATGAGAGCTGGGAACGCTGTGCGCATCACGCTCCCAATAACCACCCGTACAGAGTAATCCAGGAAATACGGTGGATATCAGAGTCGATGCGCAAGGGCGTAGAGCGGGATTCTCCGCCAACTTTTGCCCAACAGCTGCTTGCCATGAGCGTGAATGAGCCAGCTCTTCGATTTTGGTTGCAGAACACCTCCAACGACTACAGCTTGTGCAGGAGGAGGTCAGCCATGTTGACGTCTCTGTGCTTGCTGCTGCTGGTCACAGCAAGCTTCGCAGTGGCTCGCGATATTATCTTCCCTCCTATCAGCCCAGCACAAGCCAAGCTTCAAGGTCATGCAGGACAGTATCACTCTTCGATCCCCTCAGACAAAGAGCCTTTCGTGGAGTTCGAGAAATATGCAGGGTTGACCACTTTTGCAAACCTTCCCTGGGTGCACTGCTTGTCGCCGAATCAGCACGTTGAGGGCTACGATATCGCCTTTCTCGGTGCGCCGTTTGATACAGGCACCACTGCCCGACCAGGTGCACGATTCGGGCCCGCTGGTATCCGATGGGGTTCGAGACGAATAGGACCTCCTATGGCATGGAGTGCCTATACTCACGAGAATACCTTCCTGGACTGGGCACGGATTGTCGATTGCGGTGACGCGCCCCTGACCTACCTCGACAACACGGTGGCCTTGCAGCAGCTTGTAAAGGCACACAGGGTGATTTCAGGTCGTACGGCAAATACCACGGAGGTCGCGACCGTACCTCGAATCATCACGCTAGGAGGAGATCACACAACGACATTGGCCGCCTTGCGATCGACTATCCACCACTGGGGTCCTGTTAGTGTCATACATTTCGACAGTCATATCGACACTTGGGATCCTCAGGTGCTGGGTGGAGGCATTTCCGACTATGCCGGGCTGAACCATGGGACATTTCTTCACATTGCTCATGAGGAGGGGCTAATCCTCAATTCTTCGGCCCATGCAGGCATCCGGGCTCCCTTCATCAACAAGAAGCATGACTTGAAGAACGACCAGCGGTGCGGGTTTGAGATCATAACAGCCAGAGACATTGACAAGATCGGTGTCTCTGGAGTCGTTGAAAAGCTCAAGAAGCGTGTTGGTGACACGAATGTCTACATTTCCGTTGACATCGATGTGTTGGATCCGGCGTATGCTCCGGCAACAGGCACCGCCGAGGTGGGGGGCTGGACCACGAGGGAGCTGTTGAGTATCCTGGATGGCCTTGAAGGTCTGAAGGTCATCGGCGCCGATGTCGTCGAAGTGGCTCCCATTTATGACAATCCGGGAGAGACCACCGTCCTCGCAGCCGCTGAAGTCGCTCACAGCCTAATGAGCTTGATGGTGGAGACTCCTGTCAAGCCGCGGGAGAAGGCGCATGAGTAAACCTGGAGCGATGACGTCTCTACTGTATAGATTCAGAGTGGGCAGACCCGGCTACAATGAGAAGGTGGATGGTCACCTGTCCCTTACGAGTACAGCGTGTACTCTGTGAGGTTCAGGTGCGATTCCATTCAAACCGGAAATGACTTGCGGCCATGGGGCGACAATCCAGAAACGCATCCAATGAGGGGCACACTCTTAGCGTCGCCGCGGATTGCCGCGGGGTAATTAGCAAATTCGCCTTCTCGTGCCCCTCACTGCTCACTGATCCAAGCCTCTTCGTCGACCATCTGATGACGCCGCAACGGATCTGGCAAGCTGGTCCCGTACGGTAGAAGCCTCACGTGGGAGACATCACGCCAGCCACTTTTCCTTGACCCTTGGGGAACGACAGCAGGGAGGGTGTCACGAAGCATCCTGGGCCAGACCAATTAGCCCCGTTGGACGAGCCGAGAACCTACCGCAGACTCTCCATTGAAAGAGTAGTGCAGGTGGTATCCCAATCAAGTCAACGTTCACGCTTTCCAACTCCGCTCTCCTAAGCCGTGTGAAGAGTATGTAATCAACCCTGGCGTGCATGGGACACCCAGGTCACTGGGCCACTGCACTGCACCTACCCTGCCCATTCGAGTTCGACTTTCTCAATTCTCAGACTGACACTATCGTACTTTCTCTCCCTCACAGTGACCGAAACCAGCCGAGGTTCGTTTGCTACCTTTTCACCAGGATGACGGACCCAACCTCACCGAGCCCTTATTCAGAGAACAAAAGATTCGAGCCCAAAGTTCCGGTCGAGCTCAGTCCTCCCAAGGATGACGAGATAACGTTGGAAGAGTTGGCTCAGAACGATGGTATGCATTCGAACGCTCTTTTCGGCGTAGGATCATATGTCCAGCTTGCTGAGACTGTCTCGTGACGCATAGGGACGAATCCAGAGAGACCTACGTGGGTTGCGATCAAGGGAACCGTCTTCGACGTCTCCAAAAATCCAGCCTACAAAGAGAAGGGTCAATACCATGGTAGGCTGGCCGCTTGCACTTTCCTCTGGCTCCGCCGTCGCCGATTTCTGACCTGAAGTCACCTACCAGTTTTCGCTGGGAAGGATCCGTCCCGCGGCCTCGCCCTGTCGAGCTTAAAGCCCGAAGATTGCGTTCCGAACTGGGACGACCTCGACGACAAGTACAAGACTGTTCTCGACGAGTGGTATTCCTTCTTCAGCAAGCGATATAACATCGTGGGCAAGGTCAGTATGTCCAAGTTGTGAGGTTCACGTTGGAGGGGTGAACATGCGTTGAGGGGCCCGCACGATGAAGACTAGAAAAATTCGCAGGCAAAAAATCACTGCGCAAGAGATGGAGACATATCACCATTGCAGATCGAAGAAGAGCGCGGCTACATTTTGCGGGCACGCGCTGACTATACCTTGCTGCAGGTCGCTGGTGCGCACAATACTGGAAACTAATGGGGGACCCGAGAATGAAAATGACGCAGGAAGAAACGGTGTGACCCTCAGGATGATACGATACCCCCAAGATAGTAGGCACGACGGCTTTGATCGCAACAAAATGGAGTGTTACATGTCTTCAGCGCGTCTAAACTCCAGGTCATCCACCACTGAATCAGCCCTTGCGCATCTTTCTAGCCTGGCGCTTCTTCGCAATGATCCTGTTCCGCTTCGCCACGCGGTTCTTCTCCTCGGGATCCAAGGCTTCCGCGGCTTGAGGGCGTGACTCTTTGTCGGCCTTGTCAGCCCGTTTCCGTTTTTTGCTTCCCTTGCCGCCGTCGTCGTTGTGGGATCTGTCGCTCGGTCTCGTTCTGCTGCCGCCTTCTTCTCGTGCCTTGCGCTCTCTTTCGGCGCGTCGTTGGATCACTTGAGCATTCTCAATCGCGAACTCAACAATGAGTCGTTTTCCTCTTTCTTCGCCGCCATTCTTCGCCTTCACCATGTGTCCATTGAGCCAACGCAACCCAGCAAGGGCATTCCGGTGACTGACATATTCAATGAAGCCGTAGCCCCTGCTTCGACCCGCACCCTCCTTCACTTTACCGCCCTCTTTATCCTCGAACACGACTTTGGCCTGTTTGACGATGCCTTTTCCGGACTGCTTGCGTTTGCGCTCGGCCTCTTGCATTTCGCTACCACCGCGGCGCAATTCTTCCTTGTTCAGGGGTTGCCGCAGGCCCTCCTTGACATCCTTGGCGAACCCAACCACAGCTTCTCTGGCTAGGGCCTTCAGCTCCTTGCTGCCGATGCCTCGGGGCAGATTCCTGACACTCAGTCGAGTCAAGCTCAAACACAGGTTGGGACTGCTCTTGATCAACTTTTGACGCTGGCGAGCACTGGCCTCTCGGATGTCAATCTCTGCCTTGCCTAGCTGCTCGTAGAGCTTGGATCCGTTCGTGATGGAGCCCTCGGAGAGCAAGTAGAGCCGGCGCTTGTCCCGATCGCGAATGTCCCGTTTGTCGCTCGCTTCGCTGGCTCGTCGCTCTGCGTCTTCCCTGCTCAATGCACGGGTGACCTGGAGAACACGACCTTCGAGCGTATATTGACCAGAAGGATCCGATGCCTCGTTTTCCAAGATAGAATGCTTGAGGTTTTCGCCACGGCGTTTCTTCTCCTTGTCCGCCTGCTCTGTTGAAGTCCCGTGCCTTGGAGCGTTCTTGACACAGCCTTTGGCATCCTCGACATTGAAGAAACAGACAAAGCCCGTTCCTCGCGGTCTTTCCGTATCCTGGTCATAGACAACTCGAGCATACCGTACTGGTCCGAAGGCAGAGAAGTGGTCTTTCAGAGCATCGTCATCGGTGCTGTAGGGTAGATTTCTCACAAACACGGTGGTGTCGTTCCTGTTCCGGGACGGCTCGTCGTCCGAAATAGCACTCTCGGCTTCCGATCCGAGGTCCTCTTCATCGGCTTGAGCATCCAAGTCATCGACCGAGTCCTCATCGGACGTTTGTGCTAGGTCAGTGTTATCCTCAGCATTCTGATCCTCATGTAAAATTTCGTCGGAATCGATTTCTTCACTCTCACGGCCGTCAGCCCCAGCACTTTCACGTCCGCGCTCGCCGGTGGGCTGCTCTGTGTCCTTCGATTGCGGTTTGTCCTGGCCGGTCTTTTGCACCTCCTGCCATGTCTCCTTGTCCACGGCCCAGTCAACAGCTAATGTGCGACCATCGATCTCTTTGCCATTGACCCCGGCAATTGCTCTCTCGGCATTCTTTTTACCTCGCAGCAAAACAATACCAAAGCCGTACTGGACCTTTGGGCTCTTTTTGGGTACGACAGCGTGCTTGACCTTCCCATAGCTCCGAAATAGGGCGGCGAGGTCGTCCGACGTCTTGATGCTCCACGGCAGGTTTCGCACAATAAGCCTGGGTGCTTGCGAGTCTTCTTTGCTCTTCTCCCTTTCGGCCTTGAGCTTGAGGGCAGTTGTGTTGACAGTACCCCTGCCTGCGACGTCCCCATCTCTGTGTCTTGCTTCGGCTAATTCGACCTTTATCTTCCTCCCGTCCAGCTCAGAATTGTTGAACTGGGCCACGGCGGCCTGCGCATCCTCGGCGTCTGCTAGCGTGACAAAACCAAAGCCTCGCGAGATCTTTGTCTCTGGATCGACGACGACGGTAGCATGTTTGATTGGGAGGGAGTCGGAGAAGTGTTCAGCGAGCCGCTCAGTCGTCACTGAGGCCGGCAGAGAGCGAACGAAGAGTGACCGCCTTTGGTCCCTGGCCACTGCCTCGCTGTTTTGGTTCTTTTTCGTGGTTTCGGGACTAGTGGCTTCATAGCTGCCGTTAGACAGCTTGCGCCTCTTGCTGTCTTGAGCCATGACGACTCAATTGCGGTCGTGGTGTGCGAGTGTTGGAGGGCGAGAGTGAACTTTTTCACAATCCAAAATTTCTCCAAATAGGCGGAGTAGCATTTCGGTGGAGCATAATTCTACGGTCAAGCATAGGGCGCAACCGACGTACGTGAGAATTATGGTCTCGAAGGAAACAAGGGAAAACATGAATACCCCATCTTACACACAGTTGCCTGATCTCATCTCCAGTGATACAAAGCATGGCTGAGGAGTTCGACAGCCTCGATTTTCATTCTGGAGAAGCATCCGCTGAGCGGTCATCAGCACCGCAGCGGACGACGAGCCCGGCTACGAATACTGCAAGCAAAGTGGTTCAGCCAAAGCCTCAAGCACTACCGTCAAGACAAGGTCCCTCAGCCATCCTAGTGTCGACGCGTCAGAAAGGCAATCCAATCCTAAAACATGTCACCCAGCTACCCTGGGAGTACTCCGACATACCGTGCGACTACGTTCTTGGAGCCACGACATGCGCTCTGTTCTTATCCCTGAAGTATCACCGTCTGCACCCGGAATACGTCTATAGCCGCATTCGCCAGTTGGGGAAGCTCTACAATCTTCGTATCTTGTTGGCCATGGTCGACATCGAAAATCACGAAGAAGCACTGAAGGAGTTATCGAAGACGTCTATGATCAACAATCTCACTTTGATCTTGTGCTGGTCGTCTCAAGAAGCCGGCCGGTACCTGGAACTCTTCAAGTCTTATGAGCACGCGTCTTCGGCCTCCATCCGAGCTCACCGAGCAGAGACTTATCAAGAGAGCCTAACTGAGTTCGTCACCACTCCTCGATCTATCAACAAAACCGACGCCGCGAGCTTGATCATGAATTTTGGGTCTCTCCGCGCAGCTGTCAATGCTCAACCCGAGGAGTTGGCATTGGTTCCTGGTTTTGGTGAGAAGAAAGTCAAGGACTGGTACAATACGCTCCGTGAACCTTTCCGAGTGAGGAGGGCAGCAAAATCCACCGTCGCTTTGCTGAGGCAGGAGACGACGGTGGGTACGACAACGAGTCTCGACACCGATTCAGGGCCTGAAACTGCACGTGAACCCATACCTATCAGCACTGTTCCCAGTTCGCATAGCCAGGCTTCTAAAGCAGTCGTGACATCGAGCGACACCCAAATGGACCCCAGCCACAAACGCTCGAGACTCGAAGCGCTGGAGGATGATTTCGGTGATGATGACGACGAGGCTGCATGGCTTGCACTTGCTGAGGCCGAAGCCGCAAAGGCAAGCGCAGAGAAAGAACAAGACGACTTGTCATTCCCGGCAGCTCAGAAAGAACCAGAGCTAAGCTCAGGTGTTGCCGCCGCCCTGGCGAAACTGCGACAAAACGGGTGACCTCACCAAATACCGGCGGCCGCGACCTATCATCCAAACCTAATCCAGATATGTGCATCCTGTCACGACGCAGAGTAGAAATGTACGAGTACGCACAGAAGAAACTGAGGCGTAGTGTACGAGGTACGCGATGTGACGCCGTCCAGCATAAATGATCGACCCAGCGAAGGGGAATACGCTGTGCACGCTACGAGTATGGAACTGTCCAAATTCGCAGATCGTTATCATTATGTTCCGCCTCGTGTCTATCAAACTATTTCGAGGTACTATGGGTGGACCCCGCCTCGCCTCGACGAATTGCTAATGCCCCATGTGGGGATCTGTACAGTCATGAGAGACGCACAGCCGCCTACGGAAGTCCAATCACCATGGGCAAGGCAGACCCATCACGGTTCGCTCGCTTGGAACAACATAGCAGTAACAGTGCTGAAAGGACTATATCCCGTCTTTCACCAAGGGCTACGCCATTGGGGCATTTGACCATCCACTATTACAGCGTCCTTTTCCGTCTTGGAATCTCAGCCAGTATTTGCCGCATCTACGAGGTTCCTCCACCAGAAGAAAAGACATCTTCACAGAATCATTGAAGCAGCAACAGTCCATTCAGGATGGGAAATTGGGATGCTATCACCGCTGCAACCAGCGGTGTCAATCCCGCCGCCTACGCCACTCTCGGTGGACGCGAGTACCGGCCAGTGGGGGAGGCTAGCGACCAGAACATCGACACTCTCGTGACTGTGCCAGTGCTTGATCTCAAAGCCGTACAACAGAACGAAGGAAGATTAGATGCGAGCTCCATCGACACACTCACCACCGAGAAGGAAGCCAACAGAGAAAAGAAGAAAGACAAGGGTCTTTCAAGCTTGTTTCGCCGAAAGACGTCCAACTTCCACTCCCCCTCTGCAAGAAGGGTCAATATTGACATGCGACAAGTCACAAGAATGGAGTATCTGAAGCACTATGCAAAAGATGATCAGGGAGGCTATATTGGTACAGAAGACCCTGCTGAAGATTGCATTCTGAATGGAGAGGACTTGGCTAGGTGGAGAGGGCCAGCGGCGGTTCAAGCACCGCTGTCCGTCCCTTTGACTGGAATTGGGTTCGAGACAGTGGGAGACTCGGGGCATCTCGCATCAATGTCGATACTTCCTAGTGGCACTGACTCTACCACGGCTGACACGAACGCGACTTCTGGAGGGAAGAAGACCAGATTCGGGCTACTCAAGAACCTCAAAGGAGGCGGTACGAGCGGTGGGACAATCCGATAATGCTGGGCAAAACACTGGTACCACTTACCTTGTGGACTCGGATGACAATACGTCTGTATCGAATGGTCTTCACTTCCTCCCGTCCTCACAATCATGACATTGTACATTGCTTGCATCACTCCTCTGCCGACACGTTCGCTTCTGTTCCCATCTTCGGTATAAGGGGTATATCGCATCTCCCGCTCCCCAGTGCATGTAGACATCTTCATTTGCAGCAATGGCAAAATTTCTCTACAAGCCGCGCTGTGAGCAATCAATATGATCCTTTCCGATCGTCGCAAGCGTCATTTCCTAAGAGCGTCGCCAAAGGAACTTACGCCTAGCAGCGAATAATACCTTGGAAGCGCGAAATTCGTGATTGGGGGGAGCAACTTGTGCGTCGTTTGTTAAGCACAGGGCCCCCAGGCTACCACTGAAGGAGAATTAGGGGCTCCAGAAGCCGATTGGCGCCTAGAGTGATGCTTATCCTGGTTAAGCATTCGGCTCTATCGTGTCCTGCATCGTGTTCGAAATTTCAGTTCTTTTGTGTCTTCGTGTAACTGTACTTCGTTCTGTACTTCCGATTGGTTTACATCTATCTGGCATTTGAGCGAAGTCTTCAGAATCTTGCAATAGTGTTCCTGGCAATCTACAAGTCGCCCATCCTTTTATCGTGACCGCCGAACTTATGACACCAGAAACCCTCGCCACTGAAACGTTGACTTCGACCACGTCTAATGGCGAGGTATGTCAGCTAAAGCACGCCATTCGATAGGACACTCTGCCGTTGCCTCGAGCCGCTGTAACTACAGCCACGATGGCTGCGGGCGAGCCAGACGAAGCTTCCCCCTTGCTGGATGTCGAACAGTCCAGCAACATGTCTGATGGCGCGGAATCCGTCAACAAGCAGGTGCGAAGTTTGGCGGAGCTCCAGGCAGATTGGGATCCTGATACACCACAGAGTCCATCCCAGCTCGACGAAAGCGACTTTGTCACCGCCACAGAGGACCGCAATCTCAAACGAGGTCTCCATCAACGGCATGTGTCGCTCATTGCCATCGCCGGGGCTATTGTACGCTTACTGCTTCTCTTGTTCCGCCTGGATAGCTGATCCTTGCCCAGGGCACCGGTCTCTTCTTGGGTCTTGGAGGATCTATTCAGACTGGTGGCCCGTTAGGAGCACTGCTGGGCTATGCGACCGTCGGCCTCATTGTGTGCGCCGTCCAATTTGCCCTTGGCGAGGTGACAGCGCTGTTGCCGGTCACCGGCTCCTTCGTGCGCCATGCGGAGGTTCTAGTCGACCCGGCTTTGGGCTTTGCTATCGGGTGCGTCGACGCCACACGTCAACCATCGCAGGTCCTAATACATGTGTACAGGTATAATCTAGTGTACGGCAACTGCCTCTCAATCCCAACCGAGATCACGGCCATCTGCGTCCTGTTTCAGTACTGGACCGACATCAACCCTGCATTATGGATAGTAATCTTCATAACTCTAACCGTTGCAGTCGGTCTCTGTTTCATCGGCATCTACGGCGAGATCGAGTTCTGGTTCGCTCTGCTCAAGATCGTCTTCATCATCTTCCTTGTCCTGCTCGGCCTTGTCATCGACCTGGGGGGCGTCTCAGGAACGCCTCGCATCGGATTTCGATATTGGAAACATCCCGGCCCGTTTGTGGAATTCATCGGCACGGGCTCCTGGGGCCGCTTCCTGGGATACTGGGCCGTGATGAGCAACGCCGTGTTCAGCTTTGCCGGGACCGAAAGTCTCGCGATGGCGGCGGCCGAGACGCGGAACCCGCGTGTCACAATCCCCAAGGCGTGCAAACGGGTGTTTATCCGCGTGGCAACATTCTACATCCTCGCCGTGCTTGTCGTGGGCATGCTTGTGCCGAGCGACGACACCAGACTCGATGACCAGTCCGGTACTGCGGCACAGAGCCCTTTCGTCATCGCTGCCAGCGCTGCCGGCCTCAGTGGAGTGCCCTCCCTCGTCAATGCCATCGTCATCACCTCGGCGTGGTCGAGCTCAAACCAGGCCTTGCTTTCCGGCACTCGCGTTCTGTACGGGCTCGCGCTCAAGAAGCAAGCCCCGAGCCTGTTCCTGTGGACGACACCTTGGGGCACACCATACCTTTGCACGCTCTTCTTCGGGGCATTCATGTTCCTTGCCTTCATGAGTCTGTCGGAGGGCGCGCTGACGGTCTTCTGGTGGCTCGTCGACCTCACCGCGTGTGGCGTGCTGATTTCGTGGATCACCGTGCTGTCGAACCATTTGCGACTGATGCGCGCCATGAAGGCCCAGGGGATCGAGCTGGGAAGGCTGCCATGGCATTCAAGACTAACTGGTATGGCGCACCCTGAATGTGCGTTTTGGTATCTGTGCTGACGGGATCGCTTCCCACCCGCCAGAGTACTCAACGCCCACAGCTCTGATTCTGTGTGTTACCGTCCTCCTCACTGCTGGGTTCCCAGTCTTCACCAAGGGAAACTGGTCTACCACGGGGTTCGTCTCGTCATATCTGTACGTGTCCTCGAAGCCCTGCCTCCAGCCTGTCCCTCTCTCACGCAGTGCTGACCCTGACCTTAACACTACACCAGGGACATCCCCCTTGTCATCACCGCATACGTGGCGTGGAAGATCCACAAGGGGACCAAGATCGTCAAGCTGACGGACATTCCGCTTGAGGAAGCGCTCGCGAGGGCAGACCAAGATATCGAGCCAGCACCTGAACAGCCAGGCTGGCAGCGCGTGGTCGGGTTCCTTTGGGACTAACAAGTGATCATCAATGACCAAGAAGAGACGAATCGCATCACTTGGTATTGAAATGCGATCGCGCACGCGCAGCAGTATAATTTTACGAAAACCAAACCACTACTCCGAAGGTTACCAGGTTGCCTATACCGACCAGTGACCAGTCTGCTAAGTCATAGAATCAAGTCGGCGAACGGCCGGTCTTCAGAATGGCAGAGAGGGGACCATCGATGTCCAGGCCAGGTGAGATGCGAAATACACCGTCTCTCTCAGATTGGCAGGGACAGGGAGTTGAACATTTGCAACCGCAGAGCGAATTCTGTTCGCCGACAATTAAGTCTTGGAGAATATCAAATCGATGGTACCAGGCATGACATTACCATGACGGCCGCCACCACAACCCACCTTCCGACGCAGTGGTGTTCGGTATATACGGACTGCGGATATGCCTGCCATACCATAACGATACTGATCCTCGTTCGATATGCCTATTGCAAAGCGGTCCATTGGCCATTCCTGGGAGATCCCACGGTTCTGTTCCTGGACGGGAGCTCAACATCCGGCCAACAATCGAGATCAAGTTGCGAGACTCGGAGATAACTGGCCTCGAAAGAGCAGTGGCAGCTTGAGAGCACTGCCTCTTGCTTGCACCGGTGATACGTAGAGTTCTTGTTCCAGTCTTTCGGCCGCCTGGCTTGCGGTGATCTGGTGGAGCTAATGGGTCACGTGAGACATATGTGTTGATGGCTCTCGGAAAACCTTCCCGTCACGTCACATGCTGGGAACACTTTGGTACGTGACTCGGTGATCCGCGTTGACTATTCATCGTCCCTCTCTTTGATGCTACTCCTGCACACCTCACCTCTCTGCCAGCGCGCGCCCCTTGGGTGCGTGAGACTCGATGACTACTCGAACAGCAACCCAGCTAACCCCCCACTTCACTCTCCCCACTGTCAAACCTTCCCCAGCAGTGCGGTTCCTACGCAACGCAGCGTCAATCCAGGACTATGAAGATTATTTTCTGGAAAGGCTCAGAGAGCCTAAGACTTCCTACAGCGTGCCTCTCCTTCCTGCCATCCACACTTGCCTCGAATTGTCCTCTATATGATGAACAGGAGAAGCCCCATTGGGCACCAGGACCTTGAGCAGGCACAGCAAAGCTACAACTTGAGTAAAACTAAGCGCTCAGAACAAGACGGAAGTGTAGTCTGAGAACACCTCATTGTCATCTATGGGCTGCTTGCCGAATCCTGGATACACATGTTGCATTCCCTCATGCAGCTGCAGCCAGACAAACCAGATGCCAAACTTCTACGGCGAGAAATCCTCCTCCCCACCTTTCGTCTGAGCTCTATTGATGGAAACCACGCCAGATGGCAGTTGTTATAATCCCTTCTCTGCTACATAGATCTCTCCTTGCATCACTACGCGCTGTCTTTTCCTTGCACAACATGCCTGCACCTTCGCTGGAGAGCACACCAACACTCCTGGGAGAAAGGTAGGCCGACCTGGCTTGCAGGGGCGTCTCCCGAAAGCCTACTTGACCTCATCGCGGAACCTAGTCTCGATATGGCTCACTTGTTCTCAAACACTGCTCGCACACGAATGTTCATGGAAGCCTGTCCGCGAGGCGACGGACAGGATCTCGGCTTCCCAGAAATTGACCACTATTTCAGCCGGGACTCTATGCGACGACTTTACTTCAAGGACTAACAACATAGCAGTTCGTCGACTTCTTCTCAATGATTGTTCCTTAAATCAAGCTGACCACTTCCTTGCGGGTTGATTGCCTATAAGATATGCAGATACAGATTTGCGATTGCCGGCCTTACTCTTTGCCATGATGACTAACTGTTTGGCGACGAACGGATACGGCAACCGCTCATCTCTTGGGTCAGCGCGCACGAGTATGCCGAGCAGATGAATTGTCCTATACACCCAGATGTGCATTTGGTGGGTGAAAATATCTTGCTCGTTGTCTGAAGAAGACAATGACTCCAGTACAGTAATGCAGCGAGAACAACAACACTGAATCTGCCTCCGGTCGTGCGAGCCGACTTCATCACCCAGGGTGGCTTTCCACACAGAGGATCGCTAATATGGTACTTCCACCTTCCGCTTAACACCGTCGCAGTTAATGCTTTCTCCACGGCACAGATACATCATGGTTAACCATCGAAACCGGGCCAACAGTTTCCGTATGAGAGAAGCGAAGTCGATAGCCAAAACTTCATATGGCCTGAACGACGACGGTATCCTGCTGGTTGATCCAGTCGCCATCTAGGAACACCCAGTCTCTGGACTAGACGCCATGTTGCTGCAGATGATGCAGACCACAAGACCACTGTGACATCCCTGCCAAGACCCAGCCTTGTGGCAGCGGTGCCGCAGCCTCGTTCCGACTTTGCTCCAACCATGCTACACGCTTGCGACTTGTTGTTCACATATGCACAGACGGATCGTATTTATCACTACGCACAGTAACAATGAATGTTTCGCGTTCCCAATGTCTTAGATATTCACGTCTCCACTTGGCGGTAAGTTACTCTCGCGATCGCTGCCTCTATGGTCTGGCACGTCCTCTTAGACGAACCTGCTCTCGTGCCAGCTTCTGTTTTTCTCTGAGAACTCCTCCCAGATACAGACTACAGAAGCGGCCAACGCAACTCACACATCTATCTAAATCTAAGGCAGCACATTTGAAAAGACCATGACCACTATGGAGTCATTCGCCAAGCGCGAGCCCATGCTCTCGAAGAGGCTTCAGAACAGCCAGCAAATCTCGCTCGATCAGAGCGATGTGCCAAACCTGCGTTCCTGCTACCACTGCCCAGCGCTTGAAACCCTCCAGATCGGAACGGCGACCGCACTTCGAGATCACGAGCTCCAAGCCCCTATCGATACAGACACTCTGGTCCATTACATGGGACAGCCGAGCATGAGGACCATGGTAGTCCAGGACATGCGCGTCGTTGTGACCGACGACAGGACGCAATCTAGGTATCCGCCAATTGAAGACCTCCACCTCAACCGCCTTGGACGACTCTCAAGCCTCGAACTGCGCCAGGTCAACATCAATGCCGAGGCCCTTGTCAAATTGTTCCGCACCTGCACCGATCTCCGAGCGTTTACCTTGACGAGGCCATCCGGTGATCGGGGTGCTGTCTTGCTGTACGAGCTCGCCGACACTCTACGCAACGTGTCTTCCTCCCTAACCAGCCTGACGCTCGGGTACAACAGCGTGCACAAACCGCCGGAGATCACGCTTCTGCCATCACTACGCAACATGAAGACCCTCCTCCACCTCCAGATCGACCCGTCGATGTATCTCGGCCGCCACTTGTGTCCCTATCGTCTCCCCAACTACCCCGTGGTCGTCACGCGGCCGGCCTCTTCGTTCGCCGACCTCCTTCCGGACGGCCTCCAGACACTCACCTTGGACATCGACATCGAGCAAGTGATGCGTCTGCCAGATTATCGCCGGGACATCATCACTAGTATTATCGGCGCAAGGGCACACCTGCCCAACCTGGCAGAAATCACGCTGTTCGAGGACGGGGCTGCCTGGGCGGCGGCTGTCAACATGTGTTCTTGCGGTCAATGTTATCGGCAGATGGGTCGGATCTGGCGCGGCAACCCTGGCAGACGTAGTGCCGAAGAAACGCAGGAGCGGAGGGAGTTTGTGAAGCAATTGAGAAAGATGGACGTGAAGCTGTTTAGAGATATTGGGGACGGCGCGGGCAGGTATGAGTACAGTACGGCTTGGGGAAGTGCGTGAGGTGGAGTTGTGCCAGATAAACGACTCGACCAAAAAGTCACCGGAGCTCGTGGCTGGCGAGACTACCTGGGGGCTAGAGCACGGTGTGTCCAGTTCTCCGCCCGTGCGGTGCGTCCACATTCAGGCTTTCAATGTTTCGGATGAAAGAGAATATTGTTGTTAGAGGGGAGCAGGCAGCAGACAGCGGACAAGTAGACAGCAGGTACCAACAGCGACGCTCTATGCGAGGCACTCTGCAAGGCACTCTGCAAGCGGACACGGGAAGGAGAACCAACGATTTAATCATCAGACGTTCAGCGGATCTCTTGCCCTGCCTTTAGTCCAAGCTGAGCTTGTGTCGAGAGTCCATTTAGCAGTGCACCTTGCGAACCTCCCGTGAGGAAAGGGCCAAGCTCCAAGGGAACCAGTGATGTGATATCTCGACTTTCACCGCTCTATTTCCGCTCACGAGAAGGAGCGAGATCAGCAAAACTATAATAACAAGGGGTTCGGGGGTCGTGGGTCGTCACTCATGACTCGTGGTAGAGTAGATACAGGTAGACAGGGAGAATAGCTCATGGAGTCACAATGGCGGCAGGCAGGCAGACCGACAGACCGACCGCGTTGATTGATTACTGTACTGTACTGCACACTCGACCTCATTTTACCATCCATCTCTGAGATCTCGACCACCATCTTCGAGCGATATCTCCACCACCAACTTCGAGATCTCCACCACCTGGAATCTCATTCTACCACCATCTCCAGAATCTCCATGACCTGCTCCATCTCGGTGATAGGCTTCGCGTTCGTCTGGATCCAATGGTCCTTCAAACTATTCCGCGCCAACACCTCCAGCTTGTCCCTCCCGACACCCACATCCTTCAACGTCCGAGGCATGCCGATGTGGCGGAAGATCAAGTCCAGAATATCTCCCAGGTCGATGTCAGTTTGAGCCTTGCCCTGTGCGGGCCTGCCCTCTGCCGCTCTGTCTGCTGCGACCCCGTCCTCTCCGGCTCCGGCTCGGGCTTCGCCTCCGCCTCCGCCACCACGTCCATATCTCTCCTCCACCAACGCCTTGACGACGGGCGACCGAAGCAGCACATCCCTAGTATACGCCTGGCGCTGGACGTTTGCGCCGACACGGGCATTCCACTTACACACGGCGGGCAACAGGATACAGCTCGTCTCGCCGTGGCCGACACCGCCCAGGGGACCCAGCTGGTGGCCGATGGCGTGGCTGGCGCCGAGGGGCACGCCGCTGCCGACGGCGGACATGGCCTCGACGACGCCGCGCATGGTCTCGTACCGCGCGTCCAGGTCGTCGGGTCTCCTGTGCGTCGTGATCAGCGCGGGCACCAGGCGGAGCAGTCCCTTCTCGGCCTCGGCGTCGCCCTTGCTGTTGGAACGTAAGCTGCACAGCGTCTCCACGCAGTGGTCGACGGCCCGCACGCCCGTGCTGAGCCAGATCCGGGGCGGGGTCGTCGCGGTCAGGCCCGGGTCCAGCACCACCAGGCTGGGGTTGCGCGGCGGCGGCTGGAAGAGAACCTTGGCGTTGGTGCCGTCGTCGCGCGTCACGCCCGCGATGCTCTGGTACTCGCCGCCGGAGAGGCTCGTCGGGACCGCGACGTGGTAGATCTCGGGGTCCTTGAAAGAAGAAGATGACAAAGACGAGGGTGACGAGGATGTGGATGATGCGGAAGAAAAGGCCAAGAGCGCCTCTAGCCCTTCGGACGTGGTGATGCCGTTCGCGAGCATCCACGAAATCACCTTCACGCCGTCGGTCAGCGAGCCCGCGCCCAACGTGACGATACAGTCCGGGTGTCTTGGCGCCGCGTCCTGCGCGATCTCCAGCACTTCGTTCCAGTGCGTGTGCGGCGTCATGCCGATGCGCTGGCCCACGACCTTGTCGTCGCCCAGCGCGGACCGCAGGCGGGTCAATGCGTCCGTGTTGGTCGACAGGGAGCGCGACGCCACGACGTACACGCGCGAGCAGTGCAGCGTGTGTGTGATGTGGTGGGCGCAGGCTTCGTCGAAGGGCAGACCCCATGTGATGCGCGGGACTGGGCGGTCCGGGAAGGCCGGTTCGAGGTGGTCGGTGCCGTAGGTGAATGGCATGGGGTGTGTGTGTGTGTGGTTGTGTTGGGCTGGGCTGAGCTGGGACTGTGTAGGTGGATGTAGGCGTCGTGATGTGGTGATTGCTAGGAGGGCAGGGGGGATGTAAATGCTGCTGACTACCTTGAAATAAAAACCGGTCCGTCTGTCTGTGAGGGTGTATCGGAGATGTATGTATAGAGAGAAGTATATGTTCCCGTGGGCCTGCCGGAAGTACACCTTGATATATCATATACTCTCCTGCTGTGCCCGTCTAGAGTTAACAAGCCTTTGAGGTGGTAGATGGATGAAGGAAGAAGCCAGCAGAGTGATTCATGTCCTGATTAACGACGACCATGGGAGTATCTATCCTTGATCACATAGGGTGGAGATGTGGAGAACCGGCACTTGGAGTATCGACGGATGTACAGAGAACAGTACTCTTAAGTGGATGGACGCGTCCCCACGAAAGCAGCATCCTTGAGGTTCAGGACAGAGACCTCATCGACCTGGCATGGTTCTTGGGAATGTGCTAGATCCGATATCAAGAGGTCATTACTGTAAGTGCACGACGTTGATGTTTTGTCCTTACAGAGCAGCAAAAGATGCATAGGTTGATGCGCGCAAAGCCTCACGACTCAGGCAAGAGGACAATCAAAGGCATGAATGGCATGTTTGGCATGTAGTCATGACTGCGAAGGAAATGGCGAAGGGGAAGCCCGCACATACGGACCATGCAGTGAACGGTGGCGTTACTGTGCTGTGCCCATTGCGTCGCATCCTGAAATAAGAGAAGACACGGCGGCGGGTGAGCCGTGTGGACGGGATGGAAAGGAAATGGAACAGATCCGCACCGATTGATCTCCAGGAGACCGTCTCAAGATCAGAGACCTCGATGCACCCCAAGGAGCAATCCGGCAAGCATGCTGGCTGGCTCGCTCGCGCGCACACACACACGCATAGATCAGATCCAACGAAAGCGAGGCGAGGCGAGGCGTCACTAATTTGACAATCTGTGTATCAAAGTTCTCAAGAATGCTGGTTGTGTGGCTCTGATAAGTCCGCATGAGTCTTAGCCGGCCATAGCTCGTCCCGGACCGATGTTTCTCGACTTTTTTGATATCCACGAATCGCCGTCAAGAGGTTTGGCATCCATCCGCTCTCCCGTCCCAACAAACACGAGACCCAGACACACCTCATAAGGTTGATTTGGAAGGTCGTTCGGTGTCAGTGAAGGCGCAGAAGCAAGCAAGCAGGCTGTAAATCGTCACCACCATCTGCTTGGATTCGGATAGCTCAAGACGAGGTGAGGCGGAGTGGGTAAGACCGGGGGCAGGAGAACGAGGTTGAGCAAAAGCCAAGCGCCCAGCTTAGTCGAACAGGCCGAAACCCATGTCCTCGTCGGACTCTTCCTTCTCTGTGCACCACAAACAGGTCAGTCATTCATTCAGAAATAATCGGGTATGTGTGTCCCTCGTGGGGCAGGAAAGCGATGTCTTAGAACCAGGATGGCCGCAGACGTACCCTCTTCTTTCTTCTCCTCTTCCTTGGGAGCCTCCTCGGCGGCGGCAGCACCTCCGGCAGCGGCACCACCAGCAGCAGGAGCAGCAGCGGCGCCACCGCCAGAGCCAACGTTCAGAAGCAGGTCCTTCACATCCTTGCCCTCGAGAGCCTTGGCGAAGAGGGTGGCCCAGATGGGCTCGACGTCAGCAACACCGGCGGCCTTGATGAGGGTGTTCAATTTGTCGGCCTAGATATAAAAAGCGGAAGTCAGTAATTGTTCGCATCTGTTCGTCTCTCATCTCTCCATCGGATTTGCGGGACGAAAGTGCGATAGGACTGGATGGGGGGGATCATACAGTGATCTCGATGCCATCGTCGGCGAGGATGAGAGCGGCGTAAGCGCTGGCGAGCTCGGCAGTCGACATCTTGACTTAGAGTGAAGAGAAAGTCCGGTTTAGTTGAGTGACGAGGGGGTTGAAGTCGAAGTTGAAGCTGCGCGCACAAGGGCTCGAAAGTGGCTGTTGGCCGGAATTTGGTTGTGCGATTAGCGCGCCAAGAAGAAAGCTCGGTCACGTGGTAAGGGCACGCTCCCACTCTCTCAGCCTTGTGACTGAATGTTCCGAAACTGCGAGGCTGAGAAACCGACCAATGGCGTCATGCGGCCGTCTTTCCTACCAATGCAAGCGCATATATGTAGGCCATCTGCTTCGAGCTTCTCTCCAGCGACACATTTGATGGGGTGACAACGATATCGGTATACAGTATAACTGGACTCACGGGGCCGCTTCCATCACCGATCCCTCCGTAGGGCAGTTGAAAGAACTACACCAGATCAGATCCGTTCATAACCCGGACTCCTCCCGATACCCATCATACTACTAATTATCTCTCACGGATCGACCATGTCCCCAGCAACTCTAGACATGCAAGCACTCCAGTCCCTCCGGTCCGAGTTCTCCAAAGCATTAAAAGACTTTGCGGGCTCGTCGTCGTCATTCCGAATCCTATATACCGTTCCTCCAACATCAGCGCCCAGCAACGGGAAACCCATCCCCACAAGGACGCTCTACGTGCTGGACTCAAGTTTCAACCCCCCTTCAAAAGCCCACTCGAGCCTCGTCAAAACGGCATTGAGGTCCCAGCGCTCAAATTCGGAAAGGAAAGATCACAGCCGAAGCGAGACGCCTCGAGTTTTATTCCTGCTCGCGACAGTCAACGCCGATAAGAAACCCAAGCCCGCCGACTTTGAAGACCGTATCGTCATGATGACACTGGCGGCACAGGACCTGCGGTCTTCTTTCTCGTCGACTGGCGGTCCCACTTCTGATTCTGATTCTGCGTCCGCGTCCGTGTCCGAGACCTCAAACTCGTTGTCAGATACTCCCGGGAGGACGGTGGAAGCGCCGATCATCGACATCGGCATCACGAAGCAGCCGTATTTCGTGGACAAGGCCAGCGCGATCAGAGACAGTAATGTCTACGAGAACCCAGACCGCGAGGACGGCGTCGTCGAGCAAATCCACTTGACCGGGTTTGACACGCTACTTCGCATCTTCACCCCGAAGTACTACCCGAAGCATGACCCGCCGTTGTCGGCTCTGGAACCTTTTCTGCAGCATCATCGCGTGAGGGCAACGATACGGGTCGATCCGGACAGTCCGAGCGAGAACTTGAAGGATGCACAGAAGACGGAGGCCGGGTCAGGCGCTGGTGCTGCGCCACCGACCCGCGACTTTGGCACGCCGGAAGGCCAGTTGAAGTACCTCGAGGGCATTCAGCAGGGAGCGCTGGAGAACGAGGGAATGAAACGAGAGTGGTCTGACAGAGTGGACTTGGTCGTGGACGAGGATGGAGAGGCTCAGGGCGTAAGTAGTACGAAGGTCAGGGATGCGGTGAAGGAAGGGAACTGGGCTCAAGTGAGAGAGCTAGTCGGGCCGAGCGTAGGCGATTGGATCAAAGAGACGAGGTTGTACTTGGAAGGGGACGGCAATGGGAAGCTGTAAGAAGAAATAAAATGAAATCGACGCATACGACGCATACGACGCAACGTGACACAACTCCGTTTCCTCAATTCTACAATGGAATGAACCTGACTTGCACGAATACCTTTGCCCACGGCATGGGTTCGTGCATGAGGGCCCGCCATTAAGCGAATAGCTATACACGGTGCCGATGGCAGAGGACAGATCTTATGAATGTAGTATATATTTTAATTCTCGTCTTCCACGTCAACACAACATGGACAGGAAGGATACGCTCGTGCCCATACAGGCTGCGTACCGCAAGCACTTAGGTGCTGTACACGCCATATGTGCTGCCAACTCTTTCGACTCCCATGCGCTTATCGCACCTCTTTGACTCCGTGTGTCCGTCTTTGTGGGCAATTTTGTACTCACTGCAACCACCACTTCTCTCGTGATCCACGCTCAAACATCACCGCCACCCTGCTGCAACCCGGTAGCACCAGCGCCCGGCTTGGTACCACCCTCGGCAGGCAACGGCACAGGGTCCGTTCTCTGGCCGCCCTTCTGCCCGGGAGCCGCTTCAGACGTCTGCAACTGCTCGCTGACCTGCGCGTTGCCCGTGGGTGCGCGGGAGCTGGTATCACCTCCTTCGGCGGGTTTGCCGCCACCGACGGCGGTCTTCTCGCTGTGAGCGGCCTGCGGGGCGCCGCTCCCCTTTGACGCTTCGGCATTTTTCTTCCCATCGGGCGTCAGGCCAAACAGGGCACTATGGCTGCCCGGTGCGCCAGTGCCGCTGAGTTTTTCGGTCGGGTTGGCCTCGCCGACTAAGGCCGGGTCGGGTCCTTGATCAGGGGATTGGATTCGATCACCGCCGTCGGCGGGGGGTTGGGCTTGTTGGTCGTTGTTGCCGCTGTTGCCGGCCGAGGCGGGCTTGGAGGGGACATCGGCGGGAGAGGCATGCCCGTGGCCATTCCCGTGGCCGGTCTCGTGGCTGCTAGGGGTAGATGTGCTTGCGGTTTGGTCGTCGGGCTGCTTGTGATGGCCGGGAAGGTGATGGTGGCTACGCAGCGTCAGTTCTGTTGTCCATCTGGCCTGTGGTCTTGTAGATAGCGTTACCTGTTCTCCTCCGTTGACTGTGGCCTCGGTCAGTTATCACTTCAAAACATACGAGCACCTCCGACTTACGCTTTCCTTGTTGCCGCCCAGGAGGTGGCTGACTGTGTTCTTGACGGTTTCCATGACGACTGTCCTGCTGTTACGTTGCCCTAAAGACGAGATAAGTGAAACGGGTCTCGCTGCTGCTGTTATAATACTCTGCGGTGTTCAAAGTTTCATACAAGCGAAGGTGCGTGGGAGAGACGCAGGGGACTATATGAACTGAGATGCGCCTCTCGAGCAGGCATCGACACCCGTAGCGAGCTGCCCATCATCTGGGAAAATCTGACGACATCACGCTGCGTCATAGTCGAAGCCAGAGGGTTGCAAGATACGGCTGATTGCGTCCTCTGGTGACCCGAGTTGAAGGGACACGAACCAAGGGAAGCAAGCATCATAACTGCGGGGCATTGGTGGGGGGAGATAAAGCTTCGGCTCACCACCAGCACGAGTGGCTAGCCACCTCGGAACCAGCAAGGCGAATCAGGCAAGCGAACCAGTCACTGCACGGCGGAGGTTGCCAGGAACTGAGATTCACCATACTGAGTACGAGATGCTGGACAACGTTGAAAAAAGCTGGGACAAGAAGCGCGACAGGAAACCTGACTGACTCTAGTAGCGCCACATGGCCGTCAAATACCCATCCATGCCTCGACGAGGACGAGACGGAGACGGGGACGGAATACAACACGCGGCGACTGTCGTCATTGTGCATGCTACGCCGAATCCGCCTGCACTCTCAGCGCTGTTGAACACACTTCAACCAGCACACGTCTCGTTCGACTTCTCTCGCACCGGGACACAGACCGGACCGTCACATCTCGAAAGGTCGTCATTCCACCTGGCGTATGATAAAACGGTTTGTACAAGAAATGAAAGAATGGATGCTTCTCGAGGGCTCCAAAGTCTCCTGTCTTCTGCAGCCAGACTTGTCCCCCACATTCCCAAGATCTCATATCCATCCACAATCTCATGGCTTCCATCCCGCAGGGGTGGTATACTTTGACATGGTGATGAATCCCGAGCTTGGCCTCTGCGTGGTTGTCACAACGGCGGCGACAACTGCGTCAACTGAGATATTCAGAGCGGTCGGGATGCTCCAGTCCGCCCATGTATGCTCTGTCGATGTTGTGACGCTACTAGTGCTGCTGCTACTAGTGCTGCTGGTAGACGTCTGTGCATTTTCAACGGAGGTTGGCGCAGATGTACTGCTCGTCCAATCGGTCCAAGAATGCTCAACTGAGCCGGTCGTGCTACTTGATGTGGTAGCGACGGCGGCGGCGGTCGTCGTGCTGGTGGTTTTTGCGTTTTCGACAGGAGTGGCGGCGGACTCGCTGCTCGTCCAATCCGCCCACGTATGCTCAGTCGAAATGCTGGATGGGCTCGGAGATGTGGTGGACACATCAACGGCGGCGATTGGTGCGGTGGGCTTAACGGGCTTGATCTCGGTTGGTGTTGCTGTAACGGTGATCGTGCTCTGTACAACTTCCGTGACAGTGACGTACGAAACAGAACACGCGCCGCCTTCACTGCCCGGTCCTGCGGGCAAAGAACCAGCACCCGTATTAACGGGGATCAGCGTGATTGTCTCTGTCGTGGTCGAGTGCAGAGTGATGGTAGTGGTAGCTTCACTGTTCGCAGCAGCGACGTTGACGACATTGTTCGGTGCTTCGGGCTGACTCGTTGGGGACGGGCGTGTAACGGTGGCATAAATGGTGCTTGTCAGAGTGAATGTCTTCGTGATGTGTAGAGTGGTCGTTACAACAGAGGCGGATGGTCCAACCCCGAGCGTTAGCGTCGCCACAGTAGCTTCGACAGTAGTGCTGACGGCGACTTCTTCTCCCGTCGAGACGGTGCTTGTTGCCTCAGCCCAGTCTGACCAGGTTTCCATGGTGCTGGGTGTCGAGTCGACAACTGCTTCAACTGGTGGCCTTCCAGTCGAGCTGATCGTAGGTTCAGTTGCAGCGCCAACCGGTGGCTTAATAGTCGAGGTTGGAGTCGGCTCCATAGCAGCATCGACTGGGGAGCTACCGCCGCTTGAGCTGGTCACATCCCAATCGCCCCATGTCTCAGAGCTTTGCGTGCTAGACGAAGAGGCTGTCTCGGCCGCGACGATATCGCTCGTGCTTGTCGTTGAAGACGAAGTTTTGACCGCAACAGCCACGGTAGGTGTGGTTGTCATGACACCTTGGACGACCGACTCACCGCTGCTGCTCGATGATGTCCAATCGGACCACGTCTCGGCGCTGCCGTTCGTAGTCGAAGATGAAGTTGCGACAGCTTGAACCAAGGCACTGGTGGTCGTCGTAGTTGTGGAGCTACTTGCCTCGGCAGGTGTCGAAGATGAACTGGTGTATGCGCCATTGACAGGAGTCTCGCTACTATTCGTCCCAGTGCTGGTTGTGGTCGAGCTGCTGGCTGCGCCATTGACAGGGGTCTCGCCACTGTTCACGGACGATGTCCAATCCGACCAAGTCATTGAATCAGATGTTGTCGCAGCGCTAGCTTCGGAGCTGCTTGATGTGGTCGCAGCAGCAACAACAGGGCTGACCGAGCTGGGAACTTCAGAGATGCCTGCTATTACCTCAACACCAACAACCGGGACGGATGTGGTTGCCGTCGAGCTGGGAACTTCAGAGCTGCCTGCCATTGCCTCAGCACTAACAACGGGGATGGGTGTGGTTGCCACCGAGCTGGCCAACGCGTCATCCACAGTCAGGCTCGTGGAGGCCGTTTCAGGCCAGTCTGTCCAGGCAGTGTCATTGTTAGACTGACGTCGTGGGAGCCGTCTATCAGCTACCAGTCCACCATGGCGAACCTGCGCCGACGCCGATGCCAGTGACAGAGAAGCCGCCAAAATTGCGACAAGTTGGAAATGCATGTTCGCCAGGGGTCCGGGTTGGGCTGGTTCCTGACTTCGATACGTTTGCACTTCGGGAGACCTGTCAAAGTGTCTGTTTTGTCTGTTCGTTCCGTGGCGGAGTCAACCGACCGAGTAAATGAGTGAGGTATATGCAGCAAAAGGAATGACGGCGGAGAACTGAAAAAGAATGACTGACGTCTCTGGGACGCTGGGGAGAAGGTTTCAAAAGAACGACGACGACCTGAAGCGCACCCGATATCAAAGAAAGACGACGAGAAGAGAGCAAACGAGGAAAGAAGAGACGGCCGCGAGCGGAGTTACCATGTTGGTGGGTAGCACGCAACCAACGCCGGGAAATTGTAGGAGCACCGAAAGGCTGGCATAGCACCATCGTAACCCACACCATATCCCACAGCGCAGAAGATGGAGGTGCAGATCCTGTATGAGAGGAAAGCAACGGACAACGACAAGTGGGATGGTTGGTGAGAACGACGATGGGAGTGTCGCACGATTGAGGAGGAATTGTGAACAAATCCAGGAGGTCGGGTGGAGTTGCCAGGTACCACGCGTTGATTGGCAGGCTGACGCGCTTAAGAAACGGGCCTAGTCCGCATCAAGCTAGGCCCATCTTGTCTCGGACTCCTGACTGAGGTTGAAGCTTCTCATTGCTGCGAGCTGTCATCGCTGCCAGGGTTTCAAACACAGCGGAGACCGGCCTTGGTCCTTGACGTCCATTTTCGTGTATATATCTCATCTACGACTTCGGTCCATTTCTCCGTTGACCTCTGCCGATTCATGCCATCGGCGCGTGGGTGACTCGCTTGTCCTGAAAATCTCCGACCGAGGCGATTGCGATGATAAACCCAGTCCAAGTTGACCCTAGAGAGATCTCTCGGGTCGCACGCTGCTGCGACCATTCGTTATGTAGCCAATCGGCTCGCTGCCTGCGTCAAGGATGCCGCATGCACAACATCTCCGCAAGGGTGCAATAGCCGCAAGTCAAGATACACGAACTGAGATAATAGAACAAGCACCTGGATCAAGGTCAGTCGTGCGTGAATGTGGAGCGCGTAGGCCTTGCCGGCTCATGAGACGTCGCTCCGGCGTAGTGCGATCAACCTAAGCTCTGCTCATCTCCTTCTCGTGCCTATAGGTCCGTCATTTCGATCTTAGTCGCAAGCCTTGGAGGAAATTGAGAGCATATATTCGTGAAATCACGCTCAGGACAGAACGTGGTGGACCCGTTTCCTCCCAGCATTCTTCGTTCGCAATGGTCGTCCTCGTCGCAAAGCCGAGTGCTTGGGCCTATTTCACAGCATTGGCGTTTCTTTTGATCACGATGGTCCTAGCGCTCGCCCTTCTAAGTCTTCTTCCTTGCCGTCATCGTTGTGGAGAGTGACCTTTCGTGACACTGTCTCCCGGGATTCGACCAGCCTAGCTTCGATAACGCAACTCAAGACAGGAGAGGGAACACCAGGGGCGTTGCTCGATGATACTAGGAGTGGTCATTCGCGTGTTGGTTCCTTCCGTCCGACTTATCATTCCCACTTTGGATATGATGTCCTTCATCCCTCCTGCGTCCGCATTGTACGGTTTGTGCTGCACCTCCGGTCGTCGTCTTCCAAGCTGTCGACGTTTGGCCTTCGTCGTCCCCAGGGTCATCGCAAAGCTGGGCAATTGGACGCAAGCTGCTCTTCATCCTCTTCGAGCTCAAGGGCACCGTCGACGGAGTGGGCGTCTCTGTAATCAGTCCATATTTCGTGGATGCCGGCGCAGAACTGCCAGAGCCAGAGTGGCGTGTGGCACGAAAGCCAAAGGGCACCATTCACCTTCAAACCACCTCAACCCTGCTTCCTGCAAGCGAATGAGCTGCAAGCTTGGAAATAGAATGTCGACGTGGTGCCCGAGAGGAGTTGAAACAAGCCTTTGATTCGCTGGATGAAGACCCACGGCGCTAGGTAATAGTTCCGGGTTAGAAGCACTTTCTACCCAAACTGGGTGGTAAGGCTTTAGCGATGCGGACAAAAGTAGTCGCAACCGGCGACGATAGAAGATTGCTTTGGTGGGAAGGTGCCACAACCCAGGGGGGTAATTCGTAAGCCAACATGAGGATGAACCTCGAAGGTCAAATGGAACGGATATGATGAGCTTGGAATAGCCGGCACGGCGAAGACGCCACCAAAGCATTATTTCATGCTCGCGGGAGGCAGAGAGGGTTCCGGCTCGACGGATGTAATCGCCGCTTCGTCTCAGCGATTTCAACTGCCCCTTGTGAAATGTCCGTTGTAACGAATCAAACGAGGACTTGATGCCTGGAAACTTCCGGCACCATCGATAAAGCTGCTCCCTCCAGCTATTGAATGCGATCTGCGGTCCTATTGAGAGTCGAGGGCATGACGCTTCATCATATGATCCCGTGCTGCGGACAATCATTTTAGAGGGAGACAGCTCCAGCATCATAGCTTTGTTTGTTGTTGTCGATCTCAGTGCATGGACCCGCGCAGGCGGAACCGACTCTTGAAGCTGGAGGAAGGAATCATCCCATCCGCCGTGATGTGGCAGTCGCACTCGTATTGGGTATCCGTACTATCACCGCTCAGTGAAGAAAGTAGCCGAGACCAAGGTCAAGGGGCTAGTGAAGACCGAATGCAGTCGCCCATGTCTGACTTCAGCAGGAGGGAGGAAGATCCAAGCTCCAGAAGAGGAAAGGTCATAGAAGGTGGAGAGAAGGAATGGCCCATACGACCGAGTGGCTTTGGCTTGTCAATGCGTCGATCATCCGGGTTTTCAGATAAGACTCACTGGAGCAATCCGGGGATCACGGGATTCTTATCATGTGGTGTGCAGAGGAAGAAACATTGATCGACAACGCTGTCATCCTAATATGTTGTAATCGTTCAAGTCGGTGGAGTGGTCACCAGCGATCGGCTTGGACATTCCAGGGGACTAGCGTGCCATGGCGTTTCCAATGCTCTTCGTAAGTGATGTACAAGGAACTCAAAGTGTGAACTCAAAATGTGAGTGTCCGACTGATTAAGTGAACGCGTAGTGACCACTTTGGGTTTCGCTGAGTTTGACGCTAGCTGCGGAATGCAAATGAATCCATCACGTCATACTGAACCGAGTTGATCCCTTGAAACCGTGTCGGATGTTCTCAGCGCCGTTTGAGGCGCCGAGGAGCCTTCAACCGTACGAGTACCGGGGACCGTGTTCGTCAGAGACAGGAACTCTAACGGTGGAGACGACGGGCACAAGCAAATCAACACAGGAATGAACTGGAGGGCTCTGTCATAGGACACTAAGGAGCATGTGAAATTTCATGATTGTGAGGTGGTCGAGGAGGTGATGGCCCATCTCCCAACGAGCCCAGGGTGTTACTCGACATAGCGGATGAGTGTCTAGTTCCAATACTGACGGACGATCGAAAGGTTTCATATGGTAAGAGAGTCGTGTCAGTGAGCGGATTGATGCGGAACAGAGTTTGACGACCAACAGAGCGCCGAATTTGTCAAGAACCGCTCGACCTGTTCGAGGAGAACAAGGTACATCGCTCGAACAGCGCTCTCTCTGATGGGTTGTCCATCTCTCACTTATCGTTCACCACCGCTGATGTGGGATTATCGCTATCATGACCTAAGCATCACGTCCACTGCCTATTGTGTACATCATGAATGTGGCTCCGTTCCAGATCTGGGCCCTCCGCCCTATCCATACAGGCCATTGGATGTCGCCCCATACCACGCTCTACCTCTTGACGAGAACGTTGTCGTTGTTGAATAAAAGTCTTGGCCGCTCCGACCGGAGACGACACGGACAATAAGACTGACCAAGAAGTGGTCAAGCCATTCATAATGCATCGCTGCCATTTCAAACTCTTGCGCCAACGCCATCATGCAAGTTCGTATCTCATAAGCGCATGGCCCACTCCGTTACCGCGTGTCCCAATTATCCCAAACCGAAATGCTGCCCGCTTTTGCGCACCTGTGACCCATTGCCTTGGTAATGCCGTTGCAATCCACAATATCACTTAATCAGGCGCAAGCACTCGAAGGCGCAAGACGCCGTAGTCGGAGAAGTCGGCGGGGACCTCTCCCTTGCGTGTCATTCGTGTTCATTGCTCCCGTTCTTCTTTTTCCCACCGCTGAAGATTTTCATCGCTTTCTTCCACCCGCCGCTTTCACTACGCTGGGTTTTGATCGCGGCCATTCCGCTTGCACTCCCATGACTGGTAGTGCCACCAAGCTCGCTTGTCGGCGGGGTAGTGGGTGGGGTCATGATCGGCTCGTGATCCAGCAGCTCGCCAGCAGGAGGGCTTTCGGGCCCTCCGCTAGAGTCAGTCAAGGCACTCTCAGAGATTGCTGACGAGTGTGAAATGTGCGTCGATAATCGCGCTCCGGCCTGTCGACCTAACGCCGACGATAAGGAAGACGACTGTGTTGGACGGTGCTGTTGGGGAGGTGACCGAGATGTCTCGAGTGGTCCTGCTGATGTGTTTGGAGGCGATCGTCTTCGGCGAGAAGGCATTCGGCGATGCACGGATCGTTCATCAAATGTCAGTCGTGCCGGCTCAAGATCAGTCGGGTCGTCGTAGTCAGACATGACGTTATATGTCTGTGCATATGGAACCTGCTTGAGGCTGTTGCAGAATGGGATGAAGATGGAATCCGACATGAGATCGTACATTCGCTTCACCGCGGCGTCCAGGTGTTCAGGTCGGGGCGGTGTGAAATCGTACGACCGCTCGATCAGGTCGTCCCGCTCCTCCGAAGGTAAGTTGATCTCTCGTGGGGCACCAGGTTTGACATATATTTCCAGTATGCGTTGCCAATCTTGGATCAGCTCCCATCCTTGCTGCGTCTCGATGGTGAGAGGCATGCCCGCCATGCCCGCTGCTGCTTCATCGTATTTGTCGGCGTACTTTTTGGATTCCGTGGTGAATTCCAGAGTTTCTAGACAGTGTTGTTGTGATAGAAAAGCTGTGTATGCGGCTAGGGTGTAAGGAGACGGTGCCTTGTTGTTAAGCACGTCCTCAAGTGTCGGTCTGTTTCCCGGTGACATAAGGCCATCTTTTCGAGTAGTCACACTAATTGGCCGCGCTCGGGTGAACTCTCCTTCAGACATGATGAATTGTTCAGGAACGTCCTGCAGTTGGCTGACCGTAGCTTCAAGGCGAGGTGAAGGTTCAGGTGTGTATGGCCAGGCTATGGAAGTCGATTTCTTCTTCACCATGGCGCTCGACTTTGCCCTCGCTGACCGCTGCTTAACCCGAGACACTGAAGGGGGTTATTGTATGGTACGTCCTGTCAGTTGTAGAGCTCCACCGTTCCTTCTGTTCAGCACCGTTGTTCCCCTTGGACCCGAAACCCGCGAGACCACCAACACAGCCGCCGACTTGATACTCTTGACGTACGATATCTGTCCCAGTGATAGACCACTGGCGCGAGCTGAGCGCGGCACAACGAGGCTGCAAGGCAGGAGTATATTCCGCTGTGGATATCCGAGACGCTTCCCGCCAGCAAGCTTCTTCTTGTGTCACGGAAGGATGCTGTGCAACCAAACGAGGATCGAGGAAATTTTCAGACTGGCGGTACGAACTGTCGGACTGAGGGGTGGTCCCCAAGAGGGGAAGAGAAACTGGGTTCTTCAGAGGAGATTATGTCGGTGGGTATAGGGCCAAGGGTACACGTCGTGTGCTCGTTCGGGTTTGGTTCCCGAAGTCCGTCAAAAAGCGTGTATGAGTATGTGGTTGAAGGGAAGCCCGTCGAGATGCAAATAGGCAGCGGACAGACAGTCGATGGTCTAATCAGTCGTATGCGAGACTCTCGTATGGCAATGGGCAGGTCTTGAGTGAGCGACAAGAAGTGCGTTTACAGCGCAGCCGCAATCCGTATCCAGCACAACCATCTGATTTCCGGATTACTGGTAGAATATTGCAAGGGCGCTGAGGAAGTAGGAGGACGTATTGGGAGTGTGAAGAATGTTGCCTTTGGGCTTAGTGAGATCAAGGCCTCAGCTCAGTCATGGTGACGGTGTGGTGGGATGAGGACAGTGGTAAAAGGTGGTAGTGAGGTGGATGTGAAATGTGGACTGCCAGGATGCTGGGTGACCAGAGGAACCGGGAAGTGGAGAGGACGAAGGGGACGTCGTAGAAGGTTTAGGTAAGAGTCATCGCAGAACCCGCTGCCACTGCGGAAGCCTGAGGTTTCCCGTTCAGCAGCGCGAGAGCGACCGCAGGCGGAGGCGACGACGGTGAGTGGAAGAAGGGGACCGGGAAGCAAAGGCTATGGGTCTTTGGTCCCAGTCGATGTCGTATGAGCCGTTAACCTTTGCTAGCGGTCCTTTCGGGGCAGTAAGGCTTGACAGGCAGCTGCTTGCCCACGGCTGATGGTGGGAAGGGTGACAGGGCCTGGGCCAGATTCGGAGGAGGGACAAGGATGCCCAGGGCTGGGACTGAGGGGACTTGGGATCAGGAACGACTTCTAGATGAATTGTGCGTAAAAGGATGAGAAATTGGGGCAGCGTAAACGCACAGCAGCGCGGCGCAACGGCGAGGCGCAGGCAGAGCACAACACAGCACAGCACAGGGCAGACAAGACACGAAAAGGCGTGGAGCGAGCAAGGTCAGGGCCGCCCAGTGCTGCAACGCTGCCTCTTTAGCCCCTGCAAGCCTTACCGCTTTGCCCACTAGACCTGGCCTAAAACATGCCCGCAGCTGAAGAGGGACCTTTATCCGCGCTCGGATTGGTCCCTGGCAATGTGCATTACGATGGGAATGATGATCCAAGTCATGCCAAAAAAGAGGGGTGTGCACACCATACAAGGCAAACAAGATGGAGCGAAGGATGCCGTCTCCTTATGCGCAGCATGTTGGATGCATGTTAGATGGTAATGGTATTCCTGTAGATGCATTCCCACAAGGCTGGCCTAGGGACGAGATGGCTGTGGTTGAAAGTTGGTTTGCTGGGCGGCTCGAACGACGGGGCGTCCACGTCCTTCGGGTGTTACTTGCACGGTTCGATTGCCGCACGATTGGTTTCTAGGCGGCTTCTAGCAAATCGCGCAGGCTTCTATCGCCCTTCTCTCGCCTTTCCACTGCCCGTTCTCGAAAATTGCGCGGTCTTCTACGCGTATTCTAGAAGTCCGCCACCAAACAGTCACCTGCCACGGATGCGTGAGCTTTTTCTGGCTCGTCTCATTTCGTCACTGTGCCGCTTGTTTGTGAGGCTGCAGTCATTCCCTTTCTGGATTGCCGGGGACTGCCAAATGGTCACCGTGAAGATGCGGTAGGATGGTCTTCGCTACCTCTTGCCTTCGTGCGGTCATCTTCGGTCTCGCTTCTATTATTTCCAAGGTATCTCAAAGTCCGGGGCTTGATAGCTCCGGCAGCCCGGGAGGTATTAACTCTCGTGAGGTCCGGAATTCTCTCATCTGACACGCTGTGCCGCTGCACGCGTGTCTTGACTTCCCGGTTGTGCTTGCCCCAAAACTGCTTGCCATTGCCCCTCATTTTCCCTCTGCCCGTGTGAGTAAAATGGAAGCTCGGGGCGGTGAAAGTGACGCCTCTTGTGAGATAGAATGTAGTAGGGCTCTTCTCGCAGATTGCCATCGTGGATGCTTCAGTGCATTTTACTTGCTCTTAGTCAGTGGCAACATCAGCTGTTTTCAGAAGCCATCACATTTTGATTCTCATTTCAATACCGCTTACGAGCACCATGGCTCAGTTACTACGAAGGAGCTCGCATGCTGGAGCGCCAAATGACTTTCCACTCCCCAATCCGCCATCTCATCGGACTGTCCTTTGAGCGTGGCACTGCGACTTCACTCTAGATACCTGCCCATTTGCCCAGCATCTTCTACCGGCCTGTGACCGCCAAGGCTTTCGGATGCTGTGTCGCATCCTGACTCGCCGGCTCAGCGAGAGTCCACATATAACGAGCTTAGTGCAGGTATAGTAATGGAGGACGGAGTATTTTCGAGGGTTCCCAGTTTAACGCCACAGCCGATGTCCGGTCCACGGAGCAAGGCTCTTTACCTGCTATTCAATCTTGCTATTAGAACTTGTTCCTGCAGCGGGCTACGGAAAATTTGACGTGGCGATATGGAGCTCCCTTGCCAACATTCTTCCAGTCTTCTGGAACATTACTCAGGCTGGTAGTACCGACATTACCTCCTATTCCACATTGGGAGCGACTTCCGGCGGCCATCTAAGCACGTGGGCTTCTTGTTGCCAACGAGGCCCGTCACTGGTGCAGCGCCCGGATAATGGGCGGCAGCAGCACTTTTCACAGAAAAGAAAATCTTTTGCGTTGCAGCAAATGATCCTCTGCCAGCAAATCGATCCATCCAGCAACCTCTGAAAGCCTGTGGTTTCGAAATTTTCCTTCGTCCTGTTACCTTACTCCGCTGCAGACGTTACAATCCCTCCTAATTGATCCACCGCTCATTTGTGACAGGTGTTGTGGCAGGCAGTGGAAGCCGGCAAGAACAAGTCGGCGATCGCTGTTAAATCGCCTGGCTTTTTTCCTGCGGACCCATTTCCTCATTGGTCTTTCTTCTCGAATTGCGTATCAGTCATTCGAACTCGATGGTATCGGCCGCAGACAAGATTTGTTAGACTGAGATCCCACCCGGCGCCGTCGGCTTGATCTCGCAAATTCTGCCACTGCAGCCTGTTTTGTCGGAGACACTCAGAGATCAACTCAAAATCTTGATCCCCACCAACGTCGCTTACCAACTCGCCGACGCTATTGTTGTTGTCATGACTGGCGGTGAATCTTGGCTCTGAGTCACCGTCTGCCAGAAGCCCCTGGGCGGGCTTGCTCTGATCGCGATATTGCAATGGTTCTGCAGGCTCGGAATCTTTCAATATCGGCACGGAAATCCGAAGATAGTGGCATATGGCTTTTGCCTGCGTCTCGCCTGTTGCCGCTTCTTTCAGCAATACAGTCCCTCGCTTGGTTTGAGCGTCTTGCCAGAGCACATAGTCTTCGTCTTGGAATATCTGCCGCAACCGGTTAAGATGCCTACACTTTCGGCCTTGATCACTGTAGTCGCCAGGTAAGTCATGTAAGAAGTCCGACACGCTAACGCCAACCCGGAAAGTGCTTAACCGCATAGGCAAAATCTTAGCCAAGCCCAAGATCGATTCCTCCTTACCTATCGCGTTCAGGTCCTTGACCTGACCCTGAAGAAGCGCGCTAAACAGGATGTTGGCTCTCTCGATGTTGAGCGAAGTCAGTCGTACGCTCTTGACTGCCATCCAATTTGCCCACAGATGTAGCGCGAGCAGTGGAAGCAGACAGCACCAGGTGTTCCACGTGCCGTGGACTTTGCTGACGACAAGCCCTCCTGCCCACATGCCGATCAAGCTGATAACAGTCTCCTGACTGCCATCTTTGGCGTTGAGTTCGCCGATGTTACCCGACTTTGCAAAATGGGACGAAAGGATGGCCTTAGAGCTCCCACCCGAGACCCCACACACAGCTCGGCACGCGTTACTGACGCAAAGCGTGCAGACCCGCCCTAAAACTGGCAGTCCAGGGCTCAAGCAGTCCAGGATGAAAGCAAGGTCGTTGACAATATCTGCAAAGAATCGATAAAACTTCACTTCGGCTTCAATTCTTTGAGAGAAGTGGTGGGCGAACAAGATGGTGGCCAGCCGACCGATGGTTTCTTGTGCAATGTATAGCAGCATGGTGGTTACAACTGAGGCATCCTCCGACCCCACACCCATGCCGACAAATACTGCCCTCGAGGCTAGCAGTCCCGCAATTGTGGAAGCGAAAGCCTGTAAGGTGTCGTAGATCTGGTAGGGAGTGTAATCCGCGGTGACGCTCAAGGGGTACCCAGCGGGTAAGAAAACGTCCATCAATCTCATCATCAATGATGTACTTGCTGAGCGCTGCGAAGGGCGCGTTTCGAAGGCCATGCTGACTGGGTCATACCTGAACGTTACCGTTGGTTGACCTTCGGCGTCCAGTTCCTGGATCTCCATAGCTGGTCTTGACCGTCTCGCCCCTCAGTAGTGAAAGCCTGAAACTCTTCGGCTGGGGATCTGTGGCTGGCGGAGTCGGCTTGATGCTGGAGATAGTTGCTCTACTGGGTCCAGCACGGCGATGGCATGGGAGAAATGCATGTCGTGAAGAAGAGACTTGTCATCATTCGATATTCCAGGTGGTGAAAGGTTGTTGTCCTCAAGAGTCAAGCGAAAGTGAAACAGCCCCATTGACGCTCTATGATCCACCGGAGAGTATTGGATACTGTTGGGCATTGACAGATTGTAGCAATTGCTCAAATCAATTGAAAGCCATCTCAGCACCTCATCATGCATCAATCTAAAAGCAAATTTAAAGCCTCGCCCGACTCATCAGTCGGCTTCTCGCACTCCTTCGTTTTTAAAACTTCCTCTCTCCAGCTGTAGATGGCTTGGCCTCTTTCGGGGGTGGTCGCCCTCTCTGCCCAATGGACTGCCTTGAAACACGGTTGCTTTGAAATTTGCCGATGGTCTACAACTCGATAATGCGCTTCCCATCATTCTTTACAACGGCTGCTGTGCTGTGAATAGTGAACATGTCTCTTTGACCCCAACGACAATGCCCTATCTCATGCTCCGAGCGCTGTCTGGACCGATGCCTGAACGAGTAGGTTCGAGACTGCCCACGCTCCTTCCTCGTCACCGCCGTCATTCTTTCTTCAAGCTCATGTGAGTTGATTGCGTTGGTTATTGCCTCTTGTGTCTCAACTATTTGCTCTCTTCAGTCTCAGCTCGGTTTCGGTGCACCTTGCAATACAAATGCCTTTCGAGCTGTTCCATCCAGCAGAGCTTACCAAGTCAACATTTTTTCGCTTTTCATATCGTCGGCGTGGCCTGCTTTGCACTTCCTATGAACATGCCTTTTCTAAACCGCATTTTGTCGCCATTCCTGTGCTGCTTTCCGGTCCAGCCACGCGAAGAGCATCCTACGTCTGACCTTCAGACCTTACCTTCCGCTCTGCACCTTCCTGCCTCGCAGATCCCCCACGCAGCTGGTCAGTGTCGCTCAAACCAGGCAGATACGGATGCCCTACACGAGCTATTCAGAACATCATCCTCAATCCGTGGCTACCGAACTGCATCTGTCCCATCTGGCTCCCATGTCCAAAGAGAGCGCTCATTTGATGCCGACTTCAAATTCGGCTTGCAAGAGCATTCACGGAAACAGCCCAGCAGGTTGGAGCAGCTGGGGAACCACATCAAGCAGAAGCTCTCAGAGTCAGGCTTGAGCAAGAGCGGCTCGAGATCTCACATAGCATCTGAAGACAACGCTCACAACTCGATTGAACCAGACAATACAAAACTGCGGATAAGCAACCCCGAGATCAGCTTGAGCCAGCGCTCCACCGGCCTTCTTGATCTCCTGCAGTCCCGAACCGCAAGCGAAGGGGGCTATGACAGCGATGCAAAGAGTATACAGACAGCCATGCTGAAGTCGAGAGAAGGGACAATGAAGCTGAGCCCGACAAGAGCACAGACATTACTATCTCCCATGGCTGCTCTGCGCCACATCGCCACCGATGGAGCCTATGCATCACCAGAAGCCAGAGAGTCAGACGACGATGACCTCCGACCTCAACCCGACCTCAGAGTCTTGTCATCACATGCGTCAACGACGGCGTGCACGAAGGACTTGTCGGAGGTAGAACAGGAGTCGCCATCAACTGATTTGGGGCAACTGAACACTAGAGCATCGGTAGGGGCCATCGAGCTCCTCCCTAGTTCTGTGTCCGCGACAATGTCTGTATCCCCTGCGGTGGGAGCGAAAGAGCCAGATCCGTTCACCACGGCGCCTTCGCCAAACGAATTCTCACTTGCTGCACAGCATGATACAGACTTCGCTGAAATGCTCAAGTCTCAAGGCGATAAAATTTCAGCCGCTAAGCGAGAGTCTCTGATCACCAACGGGACAAACCCTCGTGCCAGCTTGATGTCCAGTCTGGATCCAAACTTGCTCGAATTCATCTCGAGATCCGGCGAGAGCCTATCCGCTGATGTGGCAGGATGCCCATCCAAGGACCATGGGGCTGATGCCATGGTTGATCCGACGTCAGCGGTGTTGGACAACTCAGCAACCGTCAGGCCTGCGATGCCTGCAAGAGAGAATACTTCGAGAAGGGACGTTACTTCTCTGACCGAATCAGAACGGAGCTCCGTTCACCTATACAGTATGCGAATCTCTCAACGCCTCGCCAGCCCTTCCTTTGTTGCTACTCAATCCAGACCAAACACGAGCTACACAACAAGCCAAGTAGCAAGGCAAGACTTTACCGAAAGACGGCCCTCGCTAGGCCGAACATCAACGTCGGGAAACATCGTTGGCCGCATTACAGCTGAGCATAACAGGAGACCATCTGATCCTCAGACTCGACGGCTTTTTGAAGGTGACAGAACTTGTTCAAGGCATTCCTCCAAGAGAAAGAATGGCTCTTTACCAGAGAGCCCAACTGCAAGCAGAAATCCAGCACCACTACAGGGTACAGATGATGGTTCATCGTCCTATTGGAGTGACGGGGAAGTGGAACAGAATGGGCTCCAAAGGGCTCGCACAACCAAGAGAAACCCGAACAGCATTGCAATTGGAGGCAGATCTGAGTCCATCAGTTTGCCTATTGGGTCTAGCGTCGGTAGTCTCTCCGTGGCAGAAGAGAGCGCCTGGTTTAAGAGGAAGTCGTCACAGCATAAACGCGGTTCTGAACCAGATAGTCCGCTGCAAGCGTCTGCCAAGAGAAACAGAAGTGTCAGTCTGCCTGATGGACCTACCCATCAACCGCGCACCTGGCTTGGCCATGCCAGTCGTCGGGTGCAGCACCCAACTGAAGCAAACGAAACAATGAGCGTGATTGATGCTGATCAGCTACAAGATGCGAGGAAGTACAATACGACAGAAAGCAACGCGCGTCCAGGTAAAAATGCGGGGATGGAGAGATTGACAGATCTCAGTGCACAGGCTATTCGCGATGCACATGATGAAGATATGAGCGAGATCGAGCCACTTGACCGACGTCCTGGCGGAGAGGCCCGACCTGAACTGACCACATTCTGGTCTGATGCTGGGCCAGCCATGCTTGGAACGGGACTTTTGATACCAGGTAATCGATCCAAATCCGAGGACCAGGAGCCACTGGAATCTTCTTTGAATGGAAGACCGAATTTGCCGGAGTCCGCCACTAACTTGTGGCAAAGAACCTTCAAACGAGTACTGGAAGAGTCTGAGAATGATTCCTTGGGTGGTTTCCTCACAGCCCCCAGGTTCGATCGAGATGGCCGACGGAGGAGTACAAGGTCGAGCATCAGTACGTTACAGCTGCCATATGAGCACCGCGTATCGGAAGCGGATGTCGATCCGCTCGAAACTAGAGTCAAGAATAACTCGTCGCATCCTGTGGAGAAGAGTCTCCTCGAGGTGTGTATGAGGAAGCCTGACCCTCTGCCATCTGTCAATCCTAGAAGAAGCATTGTCATCATCGAGGGTCGCAAAGGTGTATACAACACTGTTGGGCCATCAAAGACCTCGCGAAAGAAAAGTCTACTGGACATTGGAAGACGTTTCAGTGTGATCGGAAGCTGTAGTGAAGCCGAGCGGACTTCGGGAGCCAGCACTCCACTGAGGGATCTCCTGGGCCTCTGGGGTCACTTTCCGAGCCATACAAGAGATGACAGATGTGGCTCGGCAGGCGCGAAAGACGGTGTTGCTGTGCGAGACTTTGGTCTTGAATGTCAAGATGAGAACAGTCCGTCTTGCTCAGCGGGGCACTCCAAATTGAATCCCGTGTTTGATGTGCAGACGCCTGACTCCCGGAAGATGCTATCCTTCAGTAAAGGCCGCATTGCCAAAGGGCAGACGAGGAGTGCTGGCTCACTGCGCGCCATGCAAACATCAAGGGCGCCGGCGGTACGCCTACAGAAGAGCAAGAAAGGGCTTGCCGCGCGGTGGAAGAGGTTGTACCGGATTAGCAGCATGGAATTTCAAGCGTATACGCACAATTATGGACACCGGAGCAGCATCGGTGTCGGTGCGAGTGTTGAGTATCCTGAGCTTGAAGTGGTTCCTGGAAGCATCGGGTGGCGATCAGACCTGGATGGAACTGTGGAAACTGATGATCAGCATCACCGAGAACGAGCAGGATATGTGCAGGATCGCTTGCAGCAGCCACTGGATACAGCGCCGTGGACCCAGGCATACCGCGACTGTGTCGGAAGTCTTTCTGCTCTGAAGAGTGACCCACACTTGCGACGGGCGAGCGTGGATGATGGGCCTGGACCAGCTCAGTATGGACATGTGGCTCTCGGAGCCATGCAGAGTGCCGAGTTGCGGGACAGCACTGTGGATTTTGAGTCACAGCTTGGAAAAGAGAAGGAGGCGGCGAAGGAGGGATTGATCCGCAAGGTTGAAAGCATGCAACCATTGCGAGCCTAATGTCGAACAAGCAGTACGGCGAGCAGGGGAGCAGAGGATACGCTGTATTTTAGCCAACAGTCGCACGATGACGGCAAAGTCAATGACAACATGGATACATTATGTTAGTAAGTGTGAGTACGAAGACGGTAGTAGCACGTGGGATGTTACCGGTGTCTTCGTTGACGAAACACGAAGTATAAGGATACAGCGACATTTGATGAAGTCTCTTTTCATTGTGCTATCGTACGTAAGAACGCCATTGGGCGATTTTCTGCTATCTTGGTCGATGCACTTCAAGACGGACCTTTTTGCTTGATCCATTCGCTATTCATATCCTAAACAGGGCGCACAGTGGCAGCCGATCGCCAGGCATACCAGCGCGAAAAACACACTCCCCTCTTTGACGACAACGTGGCTCTGAAGCAAATCCACTCCATTGCACTCCATCCACTCCACTCCACGACGGACGGGTATCAAACCTCGGATCTGCGTCCCAGTGACGTCCGGTCGATCAATGCAGGTACCAGTGCAAACCCCCCCCGGCCAAAATCACAGCACGAACCAAGCGCCCACGGCGACGAGGATCAACAAGCCGACGGTGATCTCGACGCGACCGACGTCCGAGGACGCCGTGGCCGTGGCCGTCACGGCACTGGTGGTGTGGGTTACCGTGATTGTTGGATGTGTCGTGATGACGTGCATGGACGCCGACGTCGTGGTTGTTGTGCTGCTGTTGACGAGCGAGCCGAATGCAGGTGGTGAGTGTGTGCTCGACGAGGCCATGGACGTGGTGTTCAGCGCTGAGAACGACGCGTTGGTGGAGGCGGACGTCGAGATGTTGAAAAGTGGCGTGGTAGCATTGGCGAGCGAGGTCGTCAATGTGGAGAAGATGGTCGATGTGTCCAGCACGGTCGTGGGAAGCGTGATCGTCGTACTGCCACGTGCGAGGGTTGTACTACCAGTGCCGTTGTGCATTGCGGTGCAGTTGCAGGACTCGGTTGTGGTGCTGATGCTCACAGAGATGGACACGGGTGCAGGATGTGCGGGCACCGAACTGATCGGGCTGGCCGACAGCTCTGAAAACGGGACCACAAGCGAGGCGACCGGAAGGGTCGGAAGTTCAGCTCTCTTGACAGGTTCACCGCCATCATTCGAGAGTGTAACGGTGGGATGGTTCGAGAACACCGGAACACCTGCGTTGACAGCACCGACGAGGCTCTTCTTCTTGTCAAGGAGCATGCTGAAGAGGCTGAAGATTTGGGGAGCGCGCAATGATGATGCTGACCCATTCAAGGTGCCGTTGAAGAGGGGCAAGGCAGTCGACACAGATGCCGTCGCAGAGACAGTGGAATTGCTTGAGACGTACGAGGTCACCTTGCTGGCGTGAGCAGTGGCGGTGCTATTGCCTCCTGTGACAGGACCTGGTACAGTGGTGACATCAGAGAAACCAGCAGTGACGATGGTGGACACAAAGACAAAGGTGGTTGAATTGCTAGGAGCAATGGCAGGGATTGTGCTGAAGACCGTGGTCGTCGAAGTCGAGTTGGTGTACTGCGGAGTGACAACTGAGGTCACGGTGAAAACTGCCGGCTGTGTAGCTTGTGTCTCAGAAGCCGGTAAGGTCACGTTGACGGCAAAGCCAGTAGGCTCGGCAGCAGCATCGACGGTCTTGGAGATGGTGGTAAAGACTGTCACGGTGAAAGTGGCAGCGTCAGCATCAGAAGTCTTGGTCGCAATCTGGGCAGAGGCGACGCTGAGGTGCGAAACTGCAGCACTGAGGACCGAGGCAACATCCGTGACGGTGGTGAACTGTGTCTTGGTCGCGATTATTGATGAAGCGCCACTGAGACGTGAAGAGGCTTCGCTCAAGATTGAAGCAATGTCTGTGACGGTAACGGACTGTGTTTTTGTCGCGATCACTGAGGAAGCCTCACCGAGAAGTGAGGAGGCTTCACTCAAGACCGAGGCGATGGGCTCGACAGTAGCCATGATGGCGCCATTGCTGGGGAGAGTGACTGTTGTCCAGGCCCAAATTGTTTCAGTGCCGTTGTGTAGTGTCGTGAGGCTCTTGGTGACTGAGGATGCAACACTCCAGTCTGATGGCAGGGGCAAAATCGAGAAGGGGAAGGTTGGCTCGATCGTGGTATTGGGAAATGGTGGACTTGAAGTGCCAACATCCGGAGCACCCCAGGATGGCGAAGGGTTTGACGGAGTCGCGCCAACATGGACAGATTCGGTGACAGTCATTGTGTAAGTTGAAGTCATGTTGCTGACCGGGATTGGAGCCTCAGTGGTGGCATTGCAGCTCGCAGTGGCATCGCAGGGAACACCGAAGGTCACTGTCGGGAACATCAGACTGAGAGTCTCCGGGACAGACACTGTGCTGAGAGTTAGTGTGCGACAAAAATGGAGGATGCGCAGCTGCGCTGTTGAGAGAACTTACCGCGAGTACCGCTGGCAGCAGGTGCCTCAGAGTCATCGGAATCGGTCACAGTACTGGTCACTGTTTGAGACTGTAAGCTTGTGATCTTGTCGTGGATCAAGAGGTGACTTGTTATCGTACCAGAAGAGAGAGCCAAGGTCGTAGTTGAGAAGACTGTCATGGTACTAGTCGAGCTAGAGTCTACGACTGCGCTCACGTTAGACAAAGTCCAACTATGGGCATTGGAGTTATCGTACCTGAGGCGGTCTGCGGGTCGATCTCGCTGCCACTTGCCGTGATAGTGGTGAGTTCGGTCAGAGTCAAGGTACCAGTGGCGTTGGTGGAGAGAAATGGAGGCAACCCTTCCGGTGCTGGGTCGAATTGAGTGACTGTGACCGTTGCAGTGTTTGGCAAGGAGACGAGGTCTGTCACTGTGACCATGAGGGACACGGTAGTGGTGTTGCATGCCTCAGCGTCGACGAGAGTGATGAAGACAGCGGCGATGTAGGTGAGCACGAACACTGGATGGCTGTTAGCGCACCTCGTTGACGAGTTCGAAATGCTGGTCTTTTGGGGCCGGATCCTCGTGAGACTCACTGAACATGTCCCACGGCGTCGTGGTGAGCCTCGCAGGGGTTTCTCTCGCCATGACGACAAGCAGAAGTGACGTTTGAACGAATGTGAGTGTTTGAGAATGAATGAGTGGTAATCGCTGACGTTAAAGAAGGTGATAGTTGGAGAGGAGATGGTTGGGAAGAGATCACAACAGCGCAGGCTGGTGGAAGAGGTTTTTTGTATAGGCGACAGTGCGCACTTCACGGTGAGCGCCTTGGCAGCGATACAGTAACATCAGGAGTCATATTGTCGCTGGTGCGTGCCCGGTGAGGTCGTCGATGTGTATTCACCGCCTCGGAATAGATTCCATCCTTCGTATCCCTCTCCTTGAAGGGAACGACGCCAGTCTTCGTCCCTGTCCAAGTCATGTCCTTGCATGACTCAAAGTCTGGAAGACATGCGGGACTTTCAACAGAGCCTTGATGACTTTGAGATATCTTTACCATCATGCATCGTCCCAATGTCCCGGAACAAGTCCAAGGGGGAACGAAGTGGGATTTTGGTGCATGTGATACGATGGCGGCATTCCGTGAAGAAGAGATATCACCAAGGCCACCAAACGCCTCCCAACAGACTTTGGCGTTTACTTTTTGAAGGTACGAGGGGCGTCCATATCATCCGTACGCCAGGGAATCGCAGATAACAAAGGACAGAGGTATGTAGACCTTGGCTCGACAGCAGGGAGCACAGTGCTACACCCACTGACTATTGAAACACAAACCGTCACATTACCCTGGACTTACATATGCCAATGTGCATACGACGTAGACAAAAGTTCTGCCAACGACGTGAGAGGGTGTGTTGAGAACAAAACTCATGATCACGGACATGATGTTAGACGCCGCGGCATCGACATGACAACTTTGAGGATGAGCGCTTCAGCCAGTATCCGGAAAGAAGCACTTTTTGAAATTGAAGCTGTTGATTCCTGTCTGAGTTTGCTCTGTCCTTGTGGTTGTTGAGCGTCGACCAGACGTTTGCTCGATATTGTGTGTTGAGCGCTGAGAAAGAGCTCCTGTTGATATTCTAGAGGAACTGTCGTCCATCTCCATGCACACAGGGTCTTCACAACAAGGTCTCTCAGTGCTCAACAGGCTATGAGAGTGTGGTAGGGCTTTCGTCGTTCAGTCGAAGATTGGTCACGGTTGCTGCATTTGTCGACGTCATGACACCGCTTGAAGACACTCAAGTGAGATGGGCAAAGGACAGCCTCTAAGGTGTTAGAACAACGCTTTTGAAAGACAAAGAGAGGATCGAGAGCGGTGATGAACGCGGCCCGACAGGAGCAGCAGTGTGAAGAGAAGGAGGACGAGAGGAAGGCGCGCCCCGGGATGTTGAGCGACGTGCCTGCCAAGGACCCCGCCGACGCCACCATTCCCGGTTCGGCGGCGGCGGCGGCGGCGGCGGCAAAAGCGTCGTCATGGGCCGACGAATGACCAGACACCAAGCGGAGACTGAAGAATGAAGACGCATGCACGGTCTTCATGACCCCGGCAGCAGGGAACGTGGAGTATATGCCCGAAACGCACTCGTGCCTATTGCATCCGAACACTTTGACCAGCAAGTCAGTGACTGTCGATTAAGCAGACGATGTCATCGCATCATCACCACGACCACGGCCATGACCACGGACACGGACACAGTCACGGCGATGGACATGACCATTCACATGACCTAGAGCCAGCGCTGCAGTCGAATCTCTACAAGCAAATCGACTTTGAGGGGATTATCACTCTCAACGAGGCTGAGAACCGGTCGGGAGCAGCCATCGTCCAGAAAACATGGGATGAGCGGCTCAATGATCAGCCTGTCCTTGAAAGCGACGCGGACGAGCAGTTACTGATGCACATCCCTTTCTCCGGATCCTGCAAGCTCTACTCCCTCATCATAAGGACCTCAGACTCCGACTCGGCGCCGCAGACGTTGAAACTCTTCCGGAACAGAGATGACATGGACTTCAGCCTGGCGTCAGATCTCAAGCCCACCCAGACACTGACCTTGCCAAAGAGCAACGACGTGGCCGAGATACCGCTGAACCGGGCGCTTTGGAACGGCACGACGTCAATCACCCTTTTCTTCGAAGACAATCATTCCGGAGGAGAGGAGGAGGTGACGAGGATCGGTTATCTCGGGTTCAAGGGAGATTTCATGGCGCTGAACCGTGAGCCGGTGCATGTGCTGTACGAGGCGGCGGCCAATCCAAAAGATCATAAGGTGATTCAGGGGCTGACCAACACCAACGAGTCCATGTCGGGTCAGTGAGGTTTAGGGGGGTCAATGCTCTATTTGGTAGGAACGCGAGAGGTATCAATCAGTTCATGCCAGACAGACCGCTCAAAATGCATATCATCCATGTGGGAGCCTCACGACGTCATGAAGCTTCTAAAGCGACCCGTCTCTGCCTTGCCCTCTCCTTCTGCTTCTGCAGCTTCTCTTCTTGAAGGTCGAGCTCCGTCCTAGGAACTTGTGGGAGCGTTCCCTCGCCCACGATGGTCTTGTTCGGCGCGTCGGGCAGACCGACGACCTCCCTTTCCATCGCCTCCAATTCGTCTTCCACCTCGTCCTCGTCTTCATTTGACATCTGGCCGGCCAGCGCGTCGCTGATCTCCTGCTGATACCGCCTGGCGTCCTCGGTCTCGCCCATCAATTTCTCCACGGCTTCCAACCCGCCCATTTCCTGGTGGATCATGTTCAGCACCTGCGTCCCCTGCTGCAACCCGAACAGCACGTCTTTCTGCACCAGCGCGAATTCGACACTGCTCGTCAGTTTCTCCAGCTGCTCCAACTGCGCGTCCGTCTTGGAGAGCAGGGACTCCTGGTATTTCTTCCGGCGCAGCGCGAGGAGCGCCTTCTGTTTGTCGCCTTTGGCGAGACACGCCTTTGCGATCTCGGTCTCCCGGTTCGTGATCACGGTGATGCGTTTCTGATACTGGCGCAGCTTGTCGCGCTGGTTCTTCATGTCCAGGATCGCCCTGCAGGGAGCAAGCCCAAGTGTCAGAGCGCAATCCAATGGATTTGTCGAGGGAACCGCAACTGACCTGTCCTGGGCGGAGATTTTATGAGAGCTCTGTGAGTTCCCCATCGTCGCTGCATGGCCGCCCGCGGCGAGCAGCAATTTGACATGCAAGTTCAATCGCTGGGAGAATCTACAGTAACTTGACAAATGTTGCGGGCTCGAATCCTCATCTCGCTGATTGCAATCACCATTACGTTAGAGCGAAAGAAGGAGTGGTGCAGTTTACTAGTCCCTACGGTGGAGTGTTCGTGTAACGTCTGCTTGTGATATCAGCGACGTTTGCAAGGGAGACTTTCCCGCTTGTTCGACCCAATCTTCGCGCAACCTCAGCCTGGGCAAGTTCGAATGAGGGAGCCGAGTACAAAGAGAATTTATTTTCAGCGCATCAAGCGGGAGAATGCGGTTCTGATTGCCCTACTTCTGGTCCACACCCAGGAAAGGTTGGTCAGATTTCCTTTCCGGTGGGACGATCTGGGTTGCCAGGGGCCGCGTTGGCCGGATGCCGAGAGCAACAGAGACTGCAAACAGGAAAGAAATAGAAGAGGACACGGAGAGGGTCACTCGGAAGCAGAGATACTCAGTGGCACTGCCACCATGAGATCGATGTCGCAAAGGACAGCGCCCATGTGAATGGACTGAAACACGTTTGGATTTCCGTCCGTTCCCATGAGCGCACTGCGCGGGCAGATCGATGTCGCGCCTCACTTGACTTCGCCGCGACCCTTTCCCCATGTATAAACAGATCTGCACTCTAAGGTGTTCTTCTAAACGATCACGTCAAAATCCCAGTGTCACCGACCGGGACTTGAGCCAGGACCGTGCAGATCCTCGTGTCCATGTCATTCTTACGCGGTGCAAGGTATCCCACGAAGATCAAATTGGGCCCAGCCCAGTAATTAGTACAAGCGTCAATACGAATCCGAATGATCCTCGCGAACGGACAAGACGCAAGCCAAGCGGGAGGGCGAATAGCGATGTGAAGCGCGAGATCTAGCTATCGATGACCCGACGATCCAGCACTACCCCAACCAGAGGATGGGACGTCAAGCCGTAAGAGACACGTCAAGGCCGACGAAGGAAGCCAGCCAGAGGGGAATCTTGCCGTGACGACGAGCGAGAATGCGATGCTGCAAAGCCAGAATCTAACACGCACGCACCTGTTCGCATTCCGTCACTTCTCTCATCAAACACTTTTCCCCTCTGGCAGAATGACGACTCGACCAGGGGAACCCCGTCTCGAAAGAGCACAAACAAAGCCTGCCTCCCTCCACGCTGCTGACCGCAAAACCAGAAAAGTGTGCGCGACGCGACTGTCTGAATAACCCATCACTTCTGCCTCCCAATATTCGTCCTCGCTCTCGCGTGTGGTACTCCAAATCCTCTTCTCTTCGCCGCCTTTCATTGGACGCACGATCCCCTTCAATGTAGCTTCATCCTCACCAGTGAGTAAGTGGCAGGGAAATCACGGATCACGAAACCAGGATAGGGATCGAGACCGACGCTCACACTGCCGAGCAGATTTCCCGTCTCATCACATCACCTCTCCTCCAACACCTGCTCCTTCTGCTCCTTGTGCTCCTTCTTCTTCTTCTTCTTCTTCTTCTTCTACTCCTCCTTCTCCTGCTACGTTTGCTCCTCCTTCTTCTGCTACGTTTGCTCCTCCTTCTTCTGCTACGTTTGCTCCTCCTATTCTCCCTGTCTGACCACTCGCTCGTCCGCGCCCACTCAATACCAATGTCTAGGCGGCCTGAAGATATTGTTGACAACCACACGATTCATGGCATTGGCGTTGGCATATGCCCGATTAAGATTGACAGGCGTATTGATCTGCGTATTGCGGTTGATGTTCCAGTCTCCTCCTCGGCCTCCTGCTCGACATCTCGGCGGTGGCGGCGGTCGGCAACAGATGATGTCGGAGTCCTCGGACCTAATCACACACACTGTATTAGTAGGGTATCGTCGCCCTTCTTCTTTTCTAGCATGGAATAGCATGTCCAGGAATCGCGTGTCGGCAGTCTTACCAAGACGAGCACGACGAGTATCCCGAATCACTATCGTAGTCCCAGTCGTGGGGTCGGCGACGTCGCCCATGGTGCCGTTCCCTCGGGATATGGATCGTTGCACGGTCGCAGTCGATATAGATTGCATCGTCGCGGTACCTGTATCCGTGCCTGCTGGACTGGGTCAAGAAGAGGGGTTCGCGCCAGCTGCTGGGCCGGTAGCGCCAGATTTCCATGTTTGGCATTTGGAAATGGTGGGTGGTTGATCGGGCTACTTCTGTTGGTAGGGTTGGCGTTGTTGGTATTGTCGTTGCTCTCTAGTTGTGTAGGGAGGTATCCGTGGGTAGTGATTCCGCTGTGAAGATACCTTTCAACCTATAAGTACCTGCGGTAGTTAAGATGGTGCCTGCTTCGTCAACGTTGGCGCTGGGGCAGACACACATACAGAGACAAATGCCGACGCAATGGAATGGGAAAGAAACAGATGATCAAACGCCAACCAGCGTGATCAAAGAAAGTGAGTTTGCAAACCGGTTGTCTTGGACGAAGAAAGGAAGTGGACACAAACGCCGTGGTAGGGACACAAACACGAGCCGTATGTGCGGCCATCGATGCCTGAATGCCTGCTGGCCTTTAGGCGGTGGACTTGAATGCCTAATCTGGTCCTGCTGGACCATATTGTTTGCTATGCCTCCTTGTGCGACGGTGGATTAAGTTTGAGGTGGGACAAAGACATTGACTAGGTACTGCTGCGTAGAATCTGCGCATCATTGCATGCATGGTGTAGGTGGATTGAGGAAAATCAGATGTGGTGGGAAGATGAAGATCAAGCAAGTCTGTAGATTACCTCAAACGTAGCTGTTGAGCTCTCTGCGTGGAGGCACCGATCACGCACTCAGGAGTAGATGCAAGCTTGTATGCTCGCCTTCTCAAGCTGCTCCAGCTGGGAGCCTTACCTTAGGCCCTGACTGGTGGCCGGTAATGACGTCCTTTCCAGATCTCCTAGACTTTGTGTTTCAGGCCTGCCTCGCAATATGTTGTAGCTTTCTGAACGAAAGAGCCACGCCTTTAGAGAGTATTGTCATTTGAAGAGGGTTCAGCGTGTGTTTTCAGCTGTTTGTCGATTAAGAGCTGGAGCGAAGTGAGACGCTGAGCAATGAAGTGAGACGTAATGAAGTAAAGTGAAGTCAGGCGCTCCTGGCGCAAAAAGGTGAAGTAAAGTAGGGCGCCCAGAGACTAGAGCACACCTACACACCCAAAAAACTGCCGCTGCTGCTAGCGAGGTCTGATGGTCCCGACACAGGTATCGAGGGTAATCACGACATGAATAGGATTTGAACCTATGCCTCCGAAGAGATGTGATGGTCTAGAGAAGGAATTCTAGTCACACGCCTTAACCGCTCGGCCATCATGTCTACTGTACTGATTTTAGAATGTATTTCTCAAATAAATTATATATATTATTATTTTTACCTCGGCTGTGATTATGCCGAGGCATTACGCATTGGGCGCTTAGTCAGAGTAGCCTGTGCCCTACAGAGTAGATGCCCAGCCGGCCGGTTAGGTGGCCGCCTTTCATTGAATCATAATTTGTGGGGTGCACAGCTATCCAGGAGCATACACAGGAGACCGATTGCATCGAGGACATGATTTGTCAGGAACGCTAAGATCACCAAGACCGCTAAGGGTCCTAGATAAGTAGGCTGAGACTCGCACGAGGGAAGCATTCTTCTCTCTCATACTTCGAGTCCTGAGGAGACAATCACGTCAAGGTTTACTAAATACCTTGGATACTGTCGCTGGTGTGAGGTTCTGCCTATCTAATAATTGAGCCCATCCCTAACGTTATCGAAGGAGACAGTCATATGGAAATTTCAGGCTTTGGCCTATACAACTTCCATCGAGGCACAGCCACCGGTTCACCACGGATACGTCATGTCCGTGGACGTGAAGGTCGCGTGTAAACCATTCTTATCAGTGTCGGTAATCAACTTGCACGCTTGTATCGCCCCGTCGCTGGCACTTCCCGCCATGTTCGAATATCCATTCAGATTGGTAGCCCTGAAACCCGGATCAATCATGTTGACCTTGAAACCCTCCTTGCCCAGCTGAACTGCGTACAGAGCGCCGAGCATATTGTCGGCAGCCTTTGATGTAATGTAAGCCTTGTTTTCAAGTGTCTCTCCGAACCCGTAATACGGAAATTCGGGATCCAAAGCACAGGTAATCGACCCTAGACCAGACGACATGAACACCAGACGAGGGATTTCAGCCTTTCGCAGGAGCGGGATGAATGCTTCAGTCGTGCAGGCATATCCCGTGACGTTGGTGGCGAGCACGCGGTTGAAGTTCTCACGCGGAGTGGTGCCTTCCGTTTTGCTGATGCCGGCGTTGTTGAACAGGACATCGAGACGTCTGTACTTTTGCTCGACGTATTTGGCGGCTTTGGCGATGGAGTCGTCACTGTCGACGTCGAGCTCTATGGGTTCGACCGACGTCCCGTTGGCAAGGTCGGTAATGCTGCTGGCAGCCTCCTTGCCTTTCTCGAAACTGCGGGAGCCAAGGAGGATATGGTACTTTATCTGTTCGGCTGCTAGCTTCTTCACGGTCTCGTACCCAAGCCCTTGGTTCGCGCCAGAAACCAGGACGAGAGTATGGTCGGATGGGATCGCAGACATGGTGGGTATGGATGCTAGAAGAAAAGTGAATCGAACGGTCTGAGTATCGCGAGTCAAGTTGGATGCAGCGACAATGTGAACTAGGGAGATATTGTTCTGCATTTGTACCTCTTATTCTCCTGTAATCGGTCGGACTTACCGTGCTCTTTGTCTCTCATCCGCAAGGGAAAGCATACCTCGCATGGACGCCTTCTACACCGGCCGTTTCAATTTGTTGTCTTTCCATGATTGATGCCGTCCAGAGTCGATATGTAATGAGGAAGGAAGATGAAGAGCCAAATCCGCAAGTCGCTTCATGCGGCTAGTCTCTAGTTCGCGAGCGGGCCAATCACAGCCGACGGCGTTAAGGGGTTTGCGTTTGCGTTCGCCCACGTAAAATGCCTCGACCATCCGAGTCCTCGTCATCACCCTCGGCCCGTGAACCATGCAGTACTGTGTAGATGGCAGAGTCTATCAGGTGAGAAACGGCGTTTCTATGATGCCCGGGCCCTTCAGCACGAGAAGGGCCAGTGCAAGACACTTCCCAGCCTGCACACCTTGATCTCCTATCCTTCTTCCTTCGCCTTCTGAGTGCCAGGCGCTGTGGGGTTTCCAGCCAAGTTCACCCAAGACTTGTATGAATCTGGCAACATTCAGTAATCGCGGCGCGAGAGACCTTTCAGTTCCTCGTCGGGACCATGACCGGGATCTCAGATCGGCCGGTGACTCGGGCGAAGAACCCGACGTTGCAGCGGCGCAATAAAGCTTGCCTTACCTGCAAAATCAGACGTGTCAAGTGCTCCTACGAACGGCCGTCGTGCCAGCGCTGTCTGAGTACGGGTCGGAAATGCGACGGCTACCCAACGACTGAGCCGACGCCGCCAAAAGATGATGCTCCGGTAGTTTTGATGATGGTAATGGCGTGTCCCGCTCCCTCTCAATGCGACCAGGTGGCCTTGACGGCGTTCCAATTCTTTACTCAAGTCTGTGCCCCTGCCTTGCTGAACTATGGAAGCCAACGGTTCTGGAACGAGTTGGTCTTGCAGGCTTGCTACGTGGACGAGAGCATCAAGCACCTCACCATCGCAGCCTCACGGCTGGGACGCCACCACTCAGCAGCCCTTTCTCAGCAACCTGGGGACTGGGACCCGGTGTTTCTCTCACACTACGGGAAGGCCTTGAATTTGCTCAGCGGCAATCGAAACCCAGACCCTTCATTTCTGCTCATGGCGTGTCTGCTACTCATACTCTGCGACGAGTTTCGAGGCCATTCTTTCGCCGCGCTGCAACACTTGATCGCCGGACGAAGGATCCTGGCGACATATCAGCCAAGCAAATACACTGAGCACCAACATGCCACCGTCGAAGAGCTCGGCCCAATCTTTGCTAGGCTTGAATTACAGACTGGCGAGCTGTACTGCCAAGTCAGACCACTTCCCGAAAATTGGCAGCTCAACCAAAACCGGAAGTCGTGGCTGCCAGGGGACATCCAGCGTTATGTCACTACCAATGGTGAGAAAGGGCAATGGACAAGCGTCGACGATGCAGCTCGGTCACTGCAAGCCATCACATCGGAATGTACGTCTCGACAGGTAGACGGGGCCCCGCCACCGACAAGATTCCATACCGTTCCGAATTTGACGACAAGGCTCAATGGATGGCTCGACATGTACACCATTTTCGAATCAAGCGTACAGTCCAGGCCCACACATGCAGACCACACCGACTTGTACCTGCTTAGGATGTACCATAGCTGCGTCTACGTGCTCTCACGTTGCGAGCCGTTCAAGCAAGAGCTGGCGTTCGATTCGTACTCCAGCAACATAGAGCATGTCATGGTCGTCTGCGGCTTCCTCGTCCGCACAGCCAAAATGCGCATTATCCCAATCCTCTTTTTCGTCGGCACCAGGTACCGCAACGCCAGCGTTCGACGGAGGGCGATAGGATTGCTCAAACAGTATGGATTGGACGGTCAGCTCCTCGCGAGGATCGCATTGCGGGTGGTGCGGCTTGAGGAAAAGAGTGTCACGGAGCCGATTGTATGTTCTGATGTCCCCGAGGAGAGCCGCATCAGACTGGTTGACATGCTGTTCGACGTACGTGCCGCGTCGTACATTCTACGGTTCAAGCGGAGGCCATATGGTGATGACACAGCCTTGGAAACCGTCTCAATACCGGCTCCCGCGCTATCCTGGGATCCTGAACCTCGAAAGCCTGTTCATGCAGTGAGTGTTCTATTATTTCTTGTGCAGGGCTGGTGCTGATTGACGTATGTAGTGCGAACTCCTCACATCTGTCTTGAGATTCAATTTCATATCCTTTTGGAATCAGGATGATCCGGCGTTCGCGGTCCCGGCAGGTTTCGGTGGGACATGACCGGCCATTTTCTCAAAGGATCGGAAATTGGCTGTCCCGTATGAGCCAAGCTACCTGAGAGAGAGATGGGCAAACAGACCCTCTACGCCGCTCCACCCATTTCAAGCTTCTTCCCCTTGACGCTTTTCCACTCGAAACCTAACGAGAAAAGAAAAGCAATGCTCGAGCAGGCAATCGACAGAATGTACGAGTGCGTCACGGCGATATTGTAGGCGTACAACACGCCCTGTAACTGCGCCGGCGGCGTGACCTCCCTGATGTGGGTTGCTCCGGCCATGACTATCGTCCATGGATTCACGCCACTCGTGTACTTGGGAATCTCCTCGATCAGGGTGTTTGAGAAGATGTTCTGTGCGATGGATATGGAGATGGCGCCTCCAAGGGAGTTGAAGAAGATGGCCACTGCGTTGCCGACAGGCATGTCTTTCTTGGAGAGTACGACTTGCACTGCGATGAAGGGGATTTGGACGCACGCGCCGGCGCCCACGCCCGCCAGGATCTGATACCCGATCCAGCTACCAGTCGAAGAGTGGACCTTCAGGCTGTAGAGCAAACCCGAGCCGACTGCGAAGATCGCGGATCCCACCCACGTGAAAGGGACGTATGGACCTAAGGTAGTGATACTGCCTCCGACAACGATTGACGAAATTGTGATGCTGACGAGGTATGGGATTGTTCGTATGCCTGATTGTTCAGCCGTGGTGCCCTTGACTGCCTGAAAGTAGAAGGGCAGATAGTAAATGTGGGTGTACAATGCCATAGCCAGGAATGCCGAGAAGAATGCACACACGAACACAGTGCGCTGTCGAAGGAGGATCCGAGGCGGCAGGGTCGCCATATCGCCCTTCCAGAATTGAATGCCCGTGAATGTAATGATCAAGAGACCGAAGCCCAAAAGACAGCCCCAGACCTGAGAATTCGACCACGGATACGTCGTCCCGCCCCACTGCAAAGCCAGCAGCAGGCAGACGATGGCGCAAATGAGAAAGAAAGCCCCTAGTAAGTCTATCTGCCCGATCTTCTGCTTGGTCGTCAGACTGCTGTGTGCCCGGACCGGGTTCTTGAAGAAGAAGAAAACGGCCGCGATCGCAATCGCGCCGATCGGCAAGTTGATGTAGAAACACCAACGCCAAGAAACACCTAAGATCACAGAAGTCAGTATCGATGCTATGCTACGCACCCACTCAATTTCATCTCTCAGTTTCCTCCGAAGTTCCGTCAAACAGAAGCTGGGCATGGGATGGATGTGGGTGTAGGTGTGGAGACAGGCATAGAGCCGGGTACGTACGGTCGGTCAAGGCGCCTCCCAAAATCGGGCCTACCACGCTCGCCACCCCAAACATCGAACTCAGTAGCCCGATGTATATGGGTCTTTTGCGTAGCGGGACAGAATATCCCACGATGGTCATCCCGCCGGAGAACATGGCCGCAGCGCCCACGCCGGCTACAGCGCGCCCGACGATAAGCATCGTGGAGTTCACAGCTGCGGCGCAGAGCACGGAGCCGAGCTCAAAGATGACCAGCGCGATCATATACGTCCACTTAACGTTGAAGTACGTATAGATCTTCCCGAAGCTGGGCTGCAGGGAGGTGGTCGTGAGGAGGTATGACGAGCCGTACCAACCCACATCGTCTAGGGAGTTGAAGACCGTGGTGATGCGCGGGATTGCGGTCGCGATGATGGTATTGTCCAGTGCGATTACGAACGTTGAGAGCGTGAGCCCGAGAGTGAGGAGGTGAAGAGGCAGGCCTGTTGCGTATCTGGACTCGTCGTCTTCGCCTGGTTCGTCTGCTGAAGAGGTTGACATCGAGGCTAGGCGGGCCAGATCCTCATCGTGTGTCTCGGCAGGGTGATTCTCCTCAGCATTTCGTGCCTCTGCTGCTGCTGCTGCTGCTGGTGCGGGGGCGACGGCGGAGGTGTCTTCTAGCGGTGCGGCGCTTGCTAGGTTGCAGCGAGATGGGACAGGGCTATCGCCATAGTCTTTGACTTTCGTTTCGCCTGGCGGCGTCCACTTCTCACGTTCACATGTCCCGCTCGAAAGAGGGTGTTCTGATGAATGTCTGGTCGGACTGCCGTCACCGTCCCTATCGTGCATACCTGATTCCGACGCTGAGATTGACTTCTCCGCCTCCACGACCTTCGCCCATGGCAATTTCATCACGATCCTCGGGCGGAAGATTTAGAATTGCCCCCAGATGACAACCGTGGTGTTGACCGGAATGTGGCGCAACTGAAAATGCTAGAAACGCACGCTTGGACGCAGGAGCAAAAAGGGCATCAACAACACAAGGTGTTGTTTCGATTTGGATATCAGCATGGAAGCATACAGTAGATAAAAAGACCTTCTACACCACCTGGGGAACATTGCGACATCTTGAACCATCACGAGCTCGCACTCGGATTGAGCCACTTCCGAAAGCAGGCAGCTCTCGAGCGAGTAGGATAAAGAAGGGCAGAGACGGAGCTCGACGGTGTCGACGCCGGCTCGATGCGAGAGCAAGCCTGCAAACCAATGGCGTGGAAGAGGCTCTCGAAGCGAAAGGGAATGGCAGAAGCGCTGGCCAACGAGCGGACTTCGCTTACGGTGCGAAGTCGTGAGAGCTCGTAAACTATTCCGATAAAGGCGGTAGAGGTACTTCGCAGGTGTTGCCGGAGCCCGGAGACCGTATTCCTAAGGAGTAAAAGCGGGCTGCTTGGAGGTGAAAAGTCCAAGCGAAGGCCGAGGTTAAGTCCACTTTGTATGTGGAGTTGGGATACGAGCTCTTGAAGCCGCTTCGTCTTTCACTGGTGCTGGCAGATGTGCCTTTTGCAAGTGAGCAATGCGCAATCGCGCCTAGGGCAACTCTCTGCGAAAGGGGTTCTAGAGGACAGTGATGGTAACATCGACGGCAGCGACAGTGCGTGCGATGGATGCGGCCATTTAAAAATTGCGTGAGGTGAGGGTACAGTGAGGTGGTGGTGAAGAAGTGAAATTTGAGGCACCGCTGACTCGGAACTAATTAACCCAAGACGAACACACGCAGGAGCGCACCAGCGACTCTGCATTCCGTCTTCCGTCTTAGGGTCGACTAGCTAAATTCAAGCGCGTATCGGAGTGGTCTCCTGTGCATGGAACACATGTTACTTGTGAGTGATTCTGATCCTCAAGATTGAAAAGTGCCATCTTGTTGTCGACCGGTGCACTCATCTCTCCCCCTCCTTATGCCCATCAGCGCCCAACTTGTCACTGAGCTTGACTTGATGGCGTCGCTCTTACGGGCCCGACTCTCGGCTTGGTGCGCAGAGACCTCATGTTTGTGGCATCGACTACGGATAGTCTCAACAGGTTCAACTGCACGCCCTGGCTTGCAGCCCGGCTGAATGGGTTGCCGCCGACCGTCCTAGCTGCCGATACAGGGATCCCGCCTATATCATTCTTCCCACTTTTGAATCCCTCGGAACTATCATACAACGCGCTTGACCTGCGACACACTCGTCAGTCAATCATGCTTTTCCAAAACCAACAGAACGAGGTCGCCATGGATATTCTGTACATGTGTGCTTCCTCATAACTAAACCCAGCAAATTGAAAGATTATGGAAGGGGCCGGCTATTCACCTCGAAGAACCGCTTCAACCACCACACTTGAAAGACCCCTTCTCCTATCAACACGGCCAGCTGGAATATCGACCACCACTTGACTCTCGAGTTGGTGCTCTCGGCGGTGTTTCTGTGCGTCCGTTCGCGGACGATAATGTATGCCTGCTCGTCTTTCACCTGCGCGAGGAGATCGGAGAGTTGGCGGACTAGAACACACACACACACACACACACATCCTTGTTAGCCTGTGGCTTGACTTTATTGATGGAGCGGACGAGGACAAGTCTGTCTCTGTACCTTCTGTTTCGAGCGGATCCTTGGGAGCCTCTGACTCGGGCACATAAACAATGCCATGGACGTTGAACGACACCTCTTTGCTATTCGCCGACCAGTGCTCGTTACTGAAGCAGTAGACGTATCTCCCGTCCATGCGGGCTTCGAACGAATAGTCCCCTGACGAGACCGAGTTGAACTTTGTCTCGTATGAGCCCGAAGGGTCGGTGATCTGCACGGCGCGTCTCCTGTTAGTCTGTTGGCCTCTATATGCGGTCGCTCTCACACAGCAGAACATGGAATGACATACGTAGAAATCAATCTCCAGGTTGCCTGCGCCGCCAAACTCCCGGTCGCCCACTTGGAACGTCACCGTCATCTTGTCGTCCTTGTGGAGTTCTTCGTGGAAACATTCTCTTGTATGCGCTTTCAGGGCGATGTTGTGTGCCGCGCCTGCTCCTATGCATCCTGCGAACGCGGCATAGGCCGCTACTCTCGAGAAGCGCATGCCTTCTCTTTCTCTCTTGTTAGGACAGTTATGGCGATGGTCGACTTCGGTGTTCAAGGGAGAGTCACGGCTGACCGAAGCGCTGAGGAGATGATGTTTGGTGCAGTGTAGCAATCAGTACCTAACAATTTAGCAATTCATTCTCCGTATTTCGTGAGGCCAAAAAGTGTCCTTAACTGACCCGCAACTCCGCAGTTTTGGCCCTGAAATTGTGACGATCTGCAGATTGACAGGCCAATGGGCGTCGCGCTTGGCAAACGTTGCCCCTTTTCCTTCAGCGCCTGATGAACCGGACTCCTTTCTTGAGCCTCTCATGTTCACACCGATGCATTCACAGCGACAAATAGTAACCTGTCTCGAGTCTTTGCGATCAAGCACCGTGAACTTGGCTTGTGACAGGACCAACAATGTGTAATTCTCTGCATCGACCGCAGTGCCCACTACTGTCACCGCGACGTTGTCCTGACGATCTAACTGCGATGCCTATGTCCCGCGCCCAGCTCTGTTGTGTTGCGCTGTGAAGTCTATCCCTTCTTGCTCATCTGCACCTTTCTTTCTGTCCTTTCATTATGTTCGTCATTTTGAGCTCCCTCTCACCAGATCTGCAATCAGCTGTGAAACCTCCAACGCGTTTAGGCCCCTCCAAAATGTCCCTCAAGATAATCCACACTAGGTCCGATGGCACCAAAGTCCCTCTCAAGGTGTCTATCTGGGATGCATTCAAGGGTGTACCGGATCGTAAGCCTCGGAAGGTCCAGCCAACCAAGGTAAGCTTGAGGTTCGCCTTGACTCGGCGATGATGCCACGCTGAACGCTGTAGTGTCCATGCTGCGGGAAAGTTCACTGCGCCACACCCAAGCCAGGTACCAAGGATGAGGTGAAGTCCAAAGACAACCACAATACTAAGGGCAAAAACGGTGGCGAGAAACACGATGCTGGGCTCACCGATGATGACCGCATCATCCTACGCATGAAGGGAAACGATCCGTCCGCGTCATGGAAGGATATCATGGCGGCAACAAGCACGTTCAAGCATCCCGGTGAAGTGAAGGCGCGCTTCCGAGACATCAAACACCACCTGGACGAGGAGAGCAAGGAGGTCAGCGACGGGAACAAGAAGAACGGCAAGGTCACGGCAAAGGAGGAGATTGCCAGATTGCGCAAGGAAGAGGGTCTGAGGAGGAAGGCGGAAAAAGAGGCTGCTAGGGAGGCCGAGAGCAAAGCCAAGAAGGGAGAAGAGGAGAAGGCCAAGGAAGAGGCTGCGAAGAAGGTACGGTGCCCACGATACTGGACCTCTATATCCTTCGGCAGAATTGAACTGACCACGATGCAGGAGGACGACGAGAAGTCAACAAAGACAGCGAAAGCGAGGAGGGACAAGGACAAAAACAGAGGAATAGTACTCGCGGCCAAGCACTTCGACAGGACCGGTGTGCGCATCACTCCGCGAGAAGCCCTCAAATTGGCGGAGGGGAAGTAGCACCTGCATTCCTAGGAGCGCCAGCTAGTGTGTTCATTATGTCGTAGGCTTACAGGCTCTGCGGGCATTAGACAGCCGACCAAGTGTGGTGCATTGGATAACGACTTCCGCCATCGGAGCGTTCTGACAAGGAGAGATTATGAAGACCGTTCTCAAGCCCGGTTCCGAAGGTTGCTGTCCCCCGCATCATTCGAGTTGCGGAATGCCTGAGCCAGGGGTTCATAAAGCTCGGACTCTGCCGGGGTTGGGTGCTATCGACGACCAGAATCCCGATAAACAATGCCAAATTCGTCATGACCCAGTCCAACGCTGCCTTTCCTGCGGGCTCATTCACAGCGGTTTCTACAGCGAGATTTCACGCCCCTGTTCAAGGCTATTTCGCAACCTCATAGTTCAATTCTTAAAAACGAGAATTTGCTATTAGTATCCTACCTCGGCTGGAGTCTCAAGATGATAGAGACCATCAGCTACTGTAACTAGCGAGAGCATACCCGCGGAGCGTCGGTCTCGGCTCTGGTCCCAAAACCAAGAAATTTCGCCAAACACTCACTTGCGGTCGCCGACTTCTGGATCTAACATAACTATTGCAAAGGGGGACACGGAGTACTGATTTTTCCTCAAGCAAAAGAAATGGGTCAAACTCGTACAGATCAATGGCCATCCTGTTGAGAAGATCGACTTTGTACCGAGTCTCCCATACTTCTACTACACGATGGCTTGTTCTCATCATTAAGCGACAATACAGGTCTTGCACCATGGCTAGCTCTGAGAGCCCCAAAGTCGCGGTTTTGTATCAAGCACTTGAGCCGCCAGTGATCCACGGCGTCCGTAAACCTAGGAAACCCGGAGGTACGTATGACCTGTAGCATGGAGGAACGACCGAGGCCGAGGGATACTGTGCTGATGGTCCTCCGCCTAGGTTATCGTGATTCGGGCACTGATATCACTTACGTGCTCCAGTCAAGCAACGTCAATGTCTTGACCCAAGCAGCTTGCCCAGATCCTCAGAATGACGACGACTGGTGCTGGCCCGACACCGAGGAGGGCATCCTCGCGGCAGTGGACAAAGGCGCTACGCATTTGTGGGCAAATACAATCTTGTTCTCGTCGCATCCACTTCAAACCTCGTCCAAGCTTAACAGCTGTTCACCACACATAAAAGTCGTCTGGCAGCCACCCAGACTTGTGGAGCAATTCGATGACAAGGAGTTGTGAACGATCTGCTGCGACAAGATTCCACGTTCCCCATGCCGAAGGCCTGCACTGTTGAGATCTCGGAGAGCGATGTCCTTGATAGCCTGCCATACCCTGTTGTGTCAAACCCGTTCGAGGCCGAGGAAGTCACGGCGTCAAGTTGTGCATGAACAAGCAAGAGCTGCAAGCCCATCTCACTGAAATACTTGCGGAAAGCCCCAGGGTCTTGGTCGAGCAGTTCCTGTCTGGAACCGAGGGCACTGTGACCGTGATGCCTCCTTCAATAGATGTCCCACACTATTGGTCTTTGCCGCTCGTGCTCCGATTCAATCACGACCGTGGCATAGCGCCATACAACGGCGTAGTGGCCGTGGTCAAGAATTCCAAGGCGTTGGCCCGGGAACAGACCGCCGCGAATCCCACCTACACGGCCATCTGCCGACACTGTGAACGCGTTGGGGAGAAGCTGAAGACAACTGCTCCGATACGCATTGATGTGCGTCAATTCGGGCAAGGAGAAGATTTCGACACATTCGCCATTTTCGACGTCAACATGAAGCCAGTAAGTCGAGAACGATCTATCCACGTCCTGACGGACTTTCTACTACTCACACAATGCAGAACATGACAGGCCCTGGACGACCGGGACGGGAGAGCCAAGCAAGCTTGACAGCGATGGCAGCGTCTTCCATCGGTTGGGACTACACGGCATTATTGAAATACATGCTGGCATCTTCTCGTACCCTGCAGGACCTCCGCTCACTGGAGGTCTAGCTAATTGGCTCGAGAATATGGTAGCATTAGGGGAAGTCATTGGCGAAATCGGTGTTGGCTTCAGCCCATGCTGATTCAATGCTGGATCGGCTGCCCCACTTTCTTCTATTCGCATTCAGAGTGAGAGCTAATGGAGGTATGGGTGTCCAAAGTGTTGGCCACCGCAAAGGTAAGACTTCAATAATTTAGTGCTCAAGACTCGAAAGGCGTGATTGAAGATCAAGTCCAGAAGCTGCGGACTCGAGGTCTCGCGAAGCTGCTCCAGGCCCACCTGCCACATACGGCTTGCTTGGGCCTTCGCAACAGGTTTTCAAATTCCAGAAATACTGGCTACAGTCTCTAAGAGAGGAGATGCAGTTCTGGGGGGGGAGGGGCGTTTCTATTGTTTTCTACCCTCCACATTGTTCATGGGTTCCCGGCGAGCAAAGACTCAGATGCTGCCTTTTCGATTCACCCGATTTGTACAATGCGGGGAACCACCTGTCGCCCCGCTTGTCTCTCGCTCACTTCCGCCTCACTTCCGCCTGTCCTGTCCTGTCCTCCTCCTCCTCTGTCCTTTCAGGCTGAATAGGCTTCAATGTCGAGCTTCCCAATCTGTCAAGGACCAACGTCGATGATGCGTTTGAATCAAGCTTCGCTTCCTGCCATCCAACTGCCGCACAAACGGAGATGCTTGTCGTCGCCGACCACCTATTTGTCGGGTGCATTCAAAGCTGGACCGCTAAGAAGCTTCGCATCGAGCTTCTGCTCCGCATTCAATGTGGACGGCTCATCTGAATTTTCCCGCGACTTCAAAATCCGGGAGAGCTAGGATGGGTCCAGTCACGAGGCGGTAGGGGTTGTCTGGTTCCTGGATTGAGATTGACGACGAAAATGGGCGATAAAGGGCCGGTTGTTCAGGGTATAAAGCTCCTGTCGTTTCTTCTGCGAGTGCGACCTTTTACCCTTTGCCAGTATCGTCGATATCCCTGTCCCGTACGTCACTCAAAATGAAAGTCCCAATCGCGGTGGTTAGCCTTGTCGTCTCGCTGTTTGCCGTCTCGACCAGTGGCTCGATCCTCCCTCTCCCTCGTCAGAGCAAGCCATGGTCCGCCAAGCAGTTCAGCTCACTTATCACCTTTGGTGACAGCTACACGGACGAGTCGCGCCTCGGGTGGTTCATCAATCATAATGGTTCGGCTCCGGCCCCGGGCACCCTCCTCCCCGAGTCCTTTACCACCGCCGGCGGCGGCCGCACCTGGCCTCGCTACGTCGTCCAATATACCGGCGCGACCGTGCAGGGGAAATGGACCCCACAAATGACGCTATACAACTACGCTGTCTCTGGCGCGGTGTGCTCGAACAACATCACGCCGCGGTGGTTCGAAGCCATTGACGCCCCCTTCCCCGCCGTGCTGGAGTACGAGATCCCCGGCTTCATCGCCGACTTGCCCGCCACGAAAGTCAACTCCACGCCCGCCGTGCCGCTGTACAGCCCGAAGCCCACCGCCCAGGACGCGGTCTACGCCATCTGGATCGGCACCAACGACCTCGGCGTCTGGGCCTTCCTGACCGACAGCCAAATCGCGGGCAAAGTCCTCGGCGACTACACTTCCTGCGTGTACGAGGTTTTCGACAAGCTGTACGCCAGCGGCGGACGACACTTCGTGCTCATGAACACCGCGCCTCTAGACCTGGCGCCCTTGTACGCAAACGACAGCTACCACGGCGTCGGCGACAACCAATACTGGCCCGACAAGCCCACGAACCACACCGCCATCGCGTACACGATGCGCCAGTACACCACCAGCGTGAACAACGTGTTCAAGTACCAGACGCCGTATGAGGTCAAGGTCGCGAACCGGTACCCCGGCGCGCATTTCGCGCTGTTCGACACCCACGCGCTGATCACGGACATCTACAACAACCCCGCGAAATACCTGAACGGTACGGGCGTAGCCAAGGGAGGCGAGAGCGTCTGGGGGTTTGAGAACCACTGCAATGTCAACCAGACGACGTGCGTGAAGCAGGCGAACGGGACGAACAGCGATGGATATCTGTGGTTCGACGAACTGCACCCTAGGTAAGTTATGCTTCCTTTCGTACGTGCTTGATGCGTGGATGGGACATCACTAACCCTGTGATTGTAATAGTGAGCAAACTGATCGAAACATCGCCAGGGAGTTCGTCAGGGTCTTGAATGGGACTTCGAAATACGCGACGTATATCTAGGGCCCGTTACACAGGACGTGCACGACTATAAGGGCATGAGAGAGCTGGAGTGTCACCAACCTCTGCACCGCGCTTCGGGCCACACCTTACCAAATGACTTCTTGGTGGTCGCTTATACTTGAAGTTCGATAGTGGAGCATGATGAGGCGGAGATTATGAATTACCGGGTTCAACACTTTCGTGACCGACAGGTAGGGCGGAGATGAGGATATCATGTCGATCCCGAGGGCGTGACAGTTTCCTGCCGTGGTCGAAGATGTATAGTCAGGCTAACAGTACAATTTCATCCTTGGACACGAACCCGTACTACCCCTCTATCACATTTCATAGAACGACTTGCAACGTCGCCCCTTCTTCATAGACGAGAAGACAACATCAGGAACCGGCCCATTCGTAACATACATCATAAGACCCATCCCAAGCAAGTCGTCACTCACCACTCAGTGCTACCCACAACCTGTTCATTATCAAACCGGTTATCAATCCCGCCGACCCACCAAACAGCAGCGGTAAGAATCTGGCCGATGACCTCCAGGTCCTCGTTATTTCTCGGCGCATAGAGCAATACCTTGGACCCCGCAACCGGGCTGGGCTGATTCCCATCCACGAGTCCCGTCAGTCGAGCGGTAAGACGGCCGGACAGAGGGTGTCTCTGGCCCCAACCCTTCTCAATTACCAACTTGACGTCACTCGGATGGAGACTCGCGTGGATGAATCCATCTTCTGTGTTCGCGCTGATGATCTCGCCGTAGTACTTCGTCTCGTTGAACGCGCGATGTCGGGCGTACAGTGAAGTCGGGGAAGCAGGCTCGAATGTCGACCGACCCAGGTATGTTGACTGAGGGTACTTCTCTGGGATCTCGATGATCAGGTTCCGCAGGCGGTCTTGCACGTCCTTCTGCTCCCAAGGCGGGACTTGAGTCCTCTGGATGGGGCTGCTGATGCCCTCGATCTCGGGGCGGGAGCCGCGGCGTAGAGGGAGAGTTTCGAGGTAGCCGCGGGAGGATTTGGTAATAGGGCTAGTTGGGGGAGTGAGCGGGTCTGAGACAGCAAGCACGTTAAGCATCCGTTCGCAGACTTTTGTTGCGGTCGATTCGACGATTTTGCCGGGTTTCGTCGACATGAAAGGTCGGATGTCTAGTCGGATGAACTTGAGGAGGTATGTGATGATGGCTGAGCTGATCAGGATGGAAGCAGTCACGTAGAAGAAGTTCGGTGCCCAAAGTAATGCCATGTTGCTGGTCATGTTTGGACGAGTTGTGGTAACAGAAAAGTGTCGCGTGAAGAACTTGGTGGGAGAATTTTAAGCCAGTTCAGAAGCAGCGACGCGCAGGCGTGACAGTGACAGTGACACTAACAGTGACAATGTATTTGAAATCGCACTCGACTTTAACTTGGTGGCAAGAAGGATCGAAGGTGTTACGAACCTCTGGTATCTATATACCTTCATCCCGTCCCATCGGTGACGCCTGATTCATTTCCCGAAGGAAGGTCCTCATGGCAGACGAACGCGAACGGCACGGCGAGAACGAGAGCAGAACGCCCGTTGACTGTCGCATCACACTTTTCTCGTCCAGTTATAATGTCGGATGCATATCCCCCAAGCGAACAGTGCGGCAAATGTCAGAGTTCTTTCTCTAGAGTTTTACTGCTCAACTACCAAAGTTGGACAAGTAACGTCGGCTGGGACGCGTGGTTAGTCCGTCGAGATGCGCGGTTCCAGCGTTCTATGGACCGCTTCTGAATGGCCTAAATGTCCTCAGCGCACCCGCCGCGATAAGGTCGATGGTGGGTTTGGATGTGAATGTGAACAGCACGAGTAGCAGAAAGAGTTGCTCGGATGAGGAACATGTGAGGGTCTGTTGAAAGAAGAAGATCGGCGAGTCGGCGCGCCGGGATTTGGCCACGCCGATTGCTTCTAACCGTGCGCCCTGATTGGCTGAGCTGTGCAAGGCAACTCAAGCGAGTTGACCTCCTCGTGGACCGGTTCTCGCAGTTCGTCCATCGCCTCTTTCTCACTGTTCAAGAAGACCGACTGCGTTTATCCACGGCCACTTTGCGAGGGGCAACGCAAACACCTTCGACATTTGTGGCTGCAGCAGTGTCTGAAACTAGATACATAGTTACATGCTCTCCACTTTCGGCTATTGCAAATGGCCATGCAAGGAAGTATATATAGCAGCTTGTCAGATCCGGATACTCGTGCCATCCATGGCCTCGAGCCGAACCTGCATTAGCATGTAACACCTACGAGCGTCTTCGGCTGCGACCCGAACACCCAGCTGCTGTCGTAAAGGTGCAGACGTTCTGAAAAGCTCTTCCCAAACCCTTCTTTGTCATGGCTTAGCACGGACGCAGATTGTTTCAGTTCCGCCATATGCATTCATTGTCTGTCCAGTTCGGGGTTTATCCGGCGGCGCAACCCTCCGCATGGATAAATCCATGGGTGACGCTGACCGCAAATTGCGCAACGGCGCGCAGGAACATACTCATTCTCGTCATTCTTCCCCACAACATAACCACCACGACGGCATGATTCTCGCATCCACAAGGCGCCCAGCGGTGATACGGGTATACTTTGGTGCAGACCAGGCTGAGGGCAGCTGCTCCTTGGTTCGGCCGAACCCCGCGCCCATGTGGAGGATGTACAGCAGTGGCATGCTAGCTTGCGAACTCTCCTACTCATACCCACGCGATCGTGGCTGAGCTATTTTCAGAGATACGAATCGTCGCCGGAATCCGGGGTTACAGTAGGACGATCTCCTTTGCCTCCTGAGAATCAAAGGTGCAACTGCAGTTGGTCTTAGCGATCACGCATCGACTCTGGGGAATCATGGCCCATTTTCCAAGGGGAGCCCTCGCACCAATGACGCTGCCTGAGTTGTCCACACCAAAATTGTGGAACATGTTTTGCCTTGCTTCTACCGCACGTACCTTCCCGCTACCGGCCGAAGTTATTGTTGACGGCGGATCAACAGCTGAAGCCATGCCGACGGTTACAAATGCCTCAGCCGAAGAATCATTCTGCGCGGCAAGGCTCCGTGCTTTGGCAAACACGAATCCCGTCGAAACGCGACAACATGCAGCAAGTCTTCTGCGTGCGATCGACGCCATCTCCGGAACTCCGTACCCTGCTACTGTGATATCATGCGGCATTTGACATTACGGTCCTCGAAGACATTCCAAACCAGTATCGCTCCGCGACATCCAGGCCTAGGCGAGGGCTTGCAGAGGAGGTTCCTATCGACCCTACATCCTCTCCTATCGTGACTATCTGGCTCATTCCAGGTCTGTCAGCAGCGAATGGTGGTCTGCTTCTATCCTTGAATACATCCTTTCTATTGATCTGCTCCGGAACCTACGAATTTCTCACGCGCAAGATACACCGAGAATTGGGGCAGTAAAGCTCTTTTAGAAGCTAAATATAGCGTCTGAATCGGTCTTTAACTTGCATACACTCCATATCCATGTCTAGGCAAGAATGAGGCTCAATGCAGACTATCGTTACGACTGCATGTCTCCGATGAGGTTGTGTCGAACCTCGGACAAGTCAGCATACGAGCCAAGGACATTTCTCAAGAGAGCAATGTCAGTTGCAACGGTAGCGAGGACTTTCGGCCGAAAGGATCAAGGCCAGACCTTATGGCGAGGAACGTCAACATGTCGCGCAATATGCAAGCGGGAGGGAGGCCTTCGTTGGTCGATAGCATAGGTAGGGACGAAAGCTCAAGGCCACCTGAAGGGGGGCATCCCACCTGTTCCGCCCGTCGAAGGTTACCATCCCCCTGCCTACACCAGGTTATGCGTTCTTCGTTGCACCCACTTCGGGTTTATCATGGGTGCGGTCGGTATTCAATGGGGAAATCGAGCTTTTGCACAGCTTCCCCCGGAATCCAAGCCTTTTCTTGACCAGCTAGCTACGAACGTGACGGAAGTCGACTCTAGAGAAACCAGTGCCTTGTCGAAAGGAGACTTCCCGGCACAGGACTACGTCGGCATCTGAGAGTGCTATCTGCATCAGACTGCGGGTGGGAGCCTCTGCTGCAAGACGGCAATCCCTTGATGTTTGCGTTGCTGGCATTGTCCAGAATAGGAGCCATAGTTCGCCTCACAAGGTCCCTCAGGTAGATCATGCTAGATGCAGTCATAAGTGTCCTCAAAGATTCCTAGCAGAAGGCACGAGTACTAGCATCTGGGGAGGGAGTCGCTAGAAATTAAGCATTGGCGGTGTCACTGTGCCTCATGTTTCTGCGTTGCCGCTTACCAAATCAAGGCTGCGCTAGCTTACAAGCTCGACTTAGGCGCCACTCTTCTGATTGGGCTTCTTCTGATTTAAGGCACAGGCGAGCTTTTGGCCTCGGGGCCTCTTTGGCCCGCCTGGAAGAGGCGTGGGGGCATTGATGCAGGTATGGTTTGCAGCGCACATGCTTGTAGGTTTGGGGGCGCTTGCTTGCGGGGAAGCATGACACGATGATCTCAACTTTCAGGTTTTCCGTGAACATTGACTGCTGCCTCACATAAGTCATCACCATGGCCAGCATACAGGCAGCTCTGTACTGACAAGTCTTCTGCAATGTCCTAAGAGCATTGTTAGCCCTTCCTCTGCGATGGCGAGGGTGTCTAATCCCTTCGGATTCACTCGTTGGCCCGTCACCATCATCAGCAGCATTGTTTACCTTGCCATCGTTATCGCTTTAATTATCGTCCACACAACTGTGCCTTCACCTCCGAGCTCGCCGACTCCGATCCATGGCATCAACCTCACAGAAGCGTGGCTGGACCTTCAGCTTCTGACTTCCTCCTACCATCCCTACAACAGTCGTCGCAACGATGAGGTCCACGACTGGCTCCTCAAGCGTGTTGAGACGATATTGAAAGAGAATGACGCGACGGCATATATCTTTGAGGACAACGTTTCCAACTTGACATTCTCATCTGCCGGCGTTGTCCCTAGTTCAGGCGTCTCTGTCTACTTCGAGGGGACCAACATTATTGTCTATGTGCCGGGCAAGGAGGATGATACGTCAAAATGGTGGCAGGATCCAAGCGGCAAGCCTTCTGTGCGAAACGCTGTACTGGTGAATGCACATTACGATAGTGTATCTACAGGCTTTGGCTCGACGGATGACGGTGTGGGTGTGATCTCTGTGCTCCAGCTGCTCAAGTACTTCACCACGCCTCGGAACAGCCCAAAGAATGGCGTGGTTCTACTCTTGAACAATGGGGAAGAAGACTTTCTCAATGGCGCAAATGTCTTCAGCCAACATCCTATGGCCAAGGTTGTCAGCTCCTTTCTCAACCTCGAAGGAGCTGGTGCGGGTGGAAGAGCTGCCCTCTTTCGAAGCACAGACGAGGCTGTGACAAAGGCGTATGCACACTCCAAGTATCCTTTCGGTTCGTCCACTTCGGCAGATGGCTTTAATCGAGGGCTTGTCAGGAGCCAGACTGATTACGTGGTATTCAATGGCAAATTGGGCTATCGTGGCCTCGATCTCGCGTTTATTGGACCCAGAGCCCGCTACCATACCGATCAAGATGACTCTCGACACACCGGAAAAAGTTCTCTCTGGCACATGCTGTCTGCCGCTGTTGCAACGTCGGAGGCCTTGACTTCCGCCTCACTCAGAACGGATCTGGACCCGACCAAAGTCCAAGGCAGCCGAGCCCTCTGGTTCGATGTGTTTGGCCAAACCTTTGCCATTCTGAAGAGCCACTCTTTCTTTGCCTTGTCCGTCACCCTGCTTGTCGCTGGACCTATTATACTTCTCCTCACGATCGCACTGTTATATCGAGCAGACAAGTTCTACCTCTTCTCAGGCGCTCGATATGCCCACTTCCCACAGGGAGACGAGAAAATCAAGTTATACGGGTGGCGAGGTTTCTTCCGTTTCCCGCTGATCTTGCTTGTGGCTTGTGCAGCCCCAGTCGCCCTGGCGTATCTCATCTTCAAGGAGAATCAATACATCGCCCACAGCAGCGAATGGGCTGTCTGGTCCATGATGATTGCGGCCTTTATCTTCGTCGCATGGTTCTTCTGCCGTGCGGCTGACTACGGCCGGCCCTCCTCACTTACTCGGGTTTATGGCCTCTCCTGGATGTGGAGCGCTTGGTGGGTGTTCCTCGTCGTGGCGGTGGTTTTTGAAGAGCATTTCCACCTTGTCGGGCTGTACTTTGTCCTGATCTATGCAGCCCTAGTCTGGCTGGCCACCTGGGTTGCTTATCTAGAACTATTCA